AAGACACTTTACAAGGGATCGGTTTGTGTTATTGTGATTGTGTTCTTAAGTAAGACACTTTACAAGGAACCAGTTTGTGTTATTGTGATTGTGTTCTTAAGTAAGACACTTTACTAGGGACTGGTTTGTGTTACTGTGATTGTGTTCTTAAGTAAGACACTTTACAAGGGATCGGTTTGTGTTATTGTGATTGTGTTCTTAAGTAAGATACTTTACAAGGGACCAGTTCTTGTTACTGTGATTGTGTTCTTAAGTAAGACACTTTACTAGGGACCGGTTTGTGTTATTGTGATTGTGTTCTTAAGTAAGACACTTTACTAGGGACTGGTTTGTGTTACTGTGATTGTGTTCTTAAGTAAGACACTTTACAAGGGATCGGTTTGTGTTATTGTGATTGTGTTCTTAAGTAAGATACTTTACAAGGGACCAGTTCTTGTTACTGTGATTGTGTTCTTAAGTAAGTAAGACACTTTACAAGGGACCGGTTTGTGTTATTGTGATTGTGTTCTTAAGTAAGACACTTTACTAGGGACTGGTTTGTGTTACTGTGATTGTGTTCTTAAGTAAGACACTTTACAAGGAACCGGTTTGTGTTATTGTGATTGTGTTATTGTGATTGTGTTCTTTAAGACACTTTAAGTTCTTGTTACTGTGATTGTGTTCTTAAGTAAGACACTTTACTAAGTTTGTGATTGTGATTGTGGTTTGTGTTACAAGGAACCAGTTTGTGTTATTGTGATTGTGTTCTTAAGTAAGACACTTTACAAGGAACCGGTTTGTGTTATTGTGATTGTGTTTTTAAGTAAGACACTTTACTAGGGACTGGTTTGTGTTATTGTGATTGTGTTCTTAAGTAAGACACTTTACTAGGGACTGGTTTGTGTTACTGTGATTGTGTTCTTAAGTAAGACACTTTACAAGGAACCGGTTTGTGTTATTGTGATTGTGTTTTTAAGTAAGACACTTTACTAGGGACTGGTTTGTGTTATTGTGATTGTGTTCTTAAGTTAGAAACTTTACTAGGGACTGGTTTGTGTTATTGTGATTGTGTTCTCAAGCAAGACGCTTTACCCTAATTGCTCTGGATGACATGTGATGTGCCTCCAGCATGTTGTTCAATGAGATAGATGCCACCATCTACAAGGAGACCCTGCCACAAAAATGATCTGCCTGTCCTCAGGCAATAACACTAGAAACTAAACAAACTTATTAAAATAAAAAGTATTTTGTAATTCTCTAACAAAAATTTTACTTAAAACTCTCAAATATTATAAAATTGCTGCTCTGATGCATGAGAAAGTTTGTTCAAAACAATGCTTGAGTGGTGATTTTTTTCAAGTTCACAAAAAATGAAGAATGTTAAACAATAAAGAATGAATCACAACAACCTAAAAGCAATTAAACAGGCGTATAAATCTGATGGTTTTAAGTGGAACTACAATTCCTTAATATGCATGCATCAGAATCAGATCTGTGTTCAGTGAGTTACATTTATGTACCATTAATTTTATTAGTTATAAGTAACTACATGTATACCCCTAACTTGTACAAAAAATAAACAAACCTAGGTTCTTTAATTAGGTAAAACACATTACTATGTAAATAATATCTGAACAAGCACTAAAGTGGTTTAACCATGTCTTTCAAATAAAATGAAAAACAGACACACAACTTTTACAAAAAAGATGAAACTGTGCAAATGTCATTACAGTTTGATTCTTATATACTATGGCAACCTTTAAAACTAATCCTTCGGGTTTCAGGAAAGTACTGTTTATGTTTAATGTTAACTTTCAACTCAAATTTTGGTGGCTTTACCGAAAGCTTGGAATATTTTTCCTGCCAATCACTAAACAGACTATTGTTTGCTTCCTATTAATTTGATTAGTTCAAGCTTACATCATAAGTTATTCTATCCTCAAAAATACTGCAAAAAAAATGGCCTCTTGAAAATAACAAAATAACAATAAAAACATTATCTTAAACTGATGAAAAAGTTTGTCTTTTTTCCAAATTTCTAATTTTCAGAGTTTAAATAAAAGCCCCGAGTAAGAAGGACATAGTTGTCGTAGATGTTATAAAATGGACTATGGTTTCCCCAATTCACTTCTTATAAATTTACAAATATTTATCATAAATGAAGCAACTCAATTCTATCCTCTTCAAAAAAGACAAAAAAAAAAAAACAAAAAAAAAATAAAAATGAAAAAAAAAATGGATCTCATGTTTTGACCGTCTTAATCTGTAATAGCCACACAAATGAAGATACAGTTTCATGAAATAAATTTGATAATAAACATTATATATGACTTTTTATATATACATATATCCATGAATTAAATGCACAAGTATATCACACTTTTGGTTTCTACATATTTTGAGGTTGATGCAGCCAAGCACTATAGGCTGTCCATCAAACATGGAATGTCTAACTTGAAAAAAAGAAAGAAATGGTGATTGTACCTGGTTTGTATAATTATACTGTTACAGAACTACAGGTGGACAAAAGATATTCTACCATATCAACAAATAAAAACTATGAATGCTGATGAATCATGAATCAGATCTGATTGTTTTGTAAAAAGAAATGTAAAATAAAGAATTACAAACAATCACGAAAATTATATCACTCATTAGTAAAGCGTTGTTTGGCATTTTGAACGTATAAATGGCCGGAAATTTTAAAATATTTTAGGTATATACAGATATAGCTATGATGTTAGGTTTGAGACAATATTTTTAAAACACTATTTCAGTACCAGGATTACATAAGATAACAAAAATAAATTTAAATTGATCTTAATGAAAATCAACATATTTAGCTGCTAATAAAACATAACTACAAAAATATTATTAAAGTTAATCACAACACAGAATTGCCATTTTGTTACTAAGATATGTAAAAAGCTAAAATAGACAACTAAAGGGTATAAAACACAAAGTACATGTTCTCATCAACATTCTCTGTAGAATCAAAAGTCCTTCACAACACATAGTACCTGTTCTCATCAACATTCTCTGTGGAATCTAAATTCCTTCACAAAAACACATAGTACCTGTTCTCATCAACATTCTCTGTAGAATCTAAATTCCTTCACAAAAAATTATTTTCTGGGTATTATTTTCCAAAAGATATTTTAGAAAATATGAAGTAAAATCGATTTATGAGTGAAATCAAATCATAAGATTTAAATTTCCTAGCCAATCACAGGTGATTTTTGACTGTTCACATGTTATATAGAAAACAAAATATGTTAATAAATTACATAAGGCCAAACTGTTGAGGTCTTGTTTAACTTATTTGGATATTAAACAATGTTTTATTATCGAAGCTACAACTAAGATATCTATAAATAGCCTGCTGATGTTTATCGTTTTATACTCTCTCCTCTGGGTAATTCAATGCCATCAGGAAAAAGGCCTCATCTTGGATGGATTTGATATTTTCAGTTACATTAAAAGGCCTATCTAAACATGTCATGAATGCAAATATAATGTATAATCTTAAAAAATTCAGATCATTTTTTCTGTCATAGCACAAATGAAATTAAATCTCCTTATTGTATGATATTCTATCACATATTGTAAAGAGTATAACAAAATAGTGCGAGACTGTGATAAAAAATCTACAGAATTCCAGGACTCAGCAGCTAAATTATGTAAACACAAGTACTGAAGTACACCTGCGTGGATTAGAGTATATAATATACCTGATATAGGTATTACATATTAAACTTTTAAACACTTACAATTCTGTCAATGTTTACAATTATTGGCGATCACACTTTCAACAACACAGCTAGGCTAGACTCTATTCAATTTCACTTTTAACTTTATTTTAATTGCCAAAAGATTTCTTTTCCAAGTCCTAAATAAAACTTTGTGGCTATTTATTTTCATGATATTGCCTAGACAAACACTGAAAAAGTTATTAACATGCAAATATTAGCAAGTTTACAGTATATAAACCCAGGAAATTGAAACATTGAATCAATGCCAAACAAAGTGTTAATGAAAATGTTTATATGTGACAGGGTAGCATCTTTTTATACATTTTTGTCAACCAATCAGAGTTGCTCACCGGACTTTCATTTCAGGCACTAGACACAAAGGACTACAGTAAAAGCAACATTTCCACATCATAATTCAGATTTCTTCTCAACAAAATACCAAAATGGCAACTACATGTATAGTCATTTGGACACAAAAATTTGCCTGATTTCTCTTTAGCAGGCACCCAGCAGTAATCAGAACAGTTATTGTATCAAATGAAATACTATATTAGTGAACTAAACTCTGCTAGTCCACATTGTTTACTTTTTATTTCTGCCTTATTTTAGTATTTTTAAAATACAATTCAAGCATCTACAACATCTATAACTACATCTACAGTGATACATCTCTTATCATTAATTAATATCCAAAACATTTGAATTCAGATCCAAATCATGTCCAATATATCAAATACACATTATATTTTTCTTACTTAAAACAGAAATGAGAACAAGTTACTTTAAACGTTCCCAAAAGAAAACAAATGAATTGCTTTTAGTTAACAAAATATGAGACCAAAGCTATTATGCTGAAGATTTAAAAGACATATTGGCAAGTTTTAAGCTACCAAGACAGATTGCCAGAAAAACTATCATCATACCAGGTTTTTTTCTTTCTCTAGCTTGTTTCCTTTTTTTGCTTGCCTCAAAAACAGTACTACTAATACTTGAAATGAAAACACATTTTTTAACTTTGTAGTTTTTGTTAGTTGTAAGTTGACCAACAATTTCCTCTAGTAGAAACTGTTTTAGGATTTAGTATCCCAGTAAAAGGCCGGGTACATCAAAGGTTTGGATGGATTTTCATAAACAGGCAGTGCCAGTGAGATATGTTTGGCCTTGTTCGTTTCCTGGTCCAACACTTTGCTCTGATCTTATTGCAGCTGCCTGCAAATAAAACATTGGTTAATGGTTAAAGTTACTCTCCCTGGTTCAACCCCTCTTATCTTATGCCCTTCGTTTCTTCCTGGTGTCAGCAGCTTTCGGACTCCTGCTCCATCCTGGAGAACCATTGGCTTCGATTTTCCTTTCTTTCTTTGTATCATCCTCCTCCTCCCCACCCGTGGAATCTTCTGTGTCACTACTGAGGTCTTTGAGCTGAAGGCAAAACAAGTACACATTACCTTATACTTCATTTTAACACTAAACTTACTATTTTCATTTGGCATTCATAGATGACATAAATGCCAACCTCGTATGTTCAATTCTTATAATTTAATTTTTTTCCTTGTCTGTTGCAAGGCTTAAAGTCTGAAATAGGAAATAAAAATAATAATAATAGGAATAAAATGAAATGAATAATACATCATTTTCAGTCTCAATTTGTTTTTATAAGAACCCCCCCCCCACCTCCCACGTCCCATCCTCTCCATCCTCCAAGGCTTATAGATGAAAAAATTAAGGTGTTTTACAACTGAACTGGCAGGCTTTAATGGAAGCTAACAATGTTTAAATAACTTTAAATATATCTTTTTAAGCCTAAACTTAACCGTATAACATGAGACGGACCTCATTTAACAATGAGAATTAGGTACAGTGACATCAAAGTAGCTATGACATCATCAATTAGGCATCTGAAGAATTAGAAATAAAAGCACTTATATTTAACTGCTGTGTTTGTAATCATCTTTTCTATATCTTTTTGTATATACATGACAAGGATGGAGACAGTGATGTGGATGAAGATGATGACGGGATGGAAATAAGGATGGGATGGAGACAGAGAAGGAGATAAAGAAGAGGACAGGATAGAGATGAGGAATATATGGAAACAGAGATGGGGATGATGATGGAGACAGGAAAGGGGATGAGGACAAGATGAAGACAGAAATGGAGATGAAGAGGAGGATGAGATGGAGATGGGGGCGAGAAGGAAACCGAGATGGGGATGATGATGAAGACAGGAAAGGAGATGACGACATGATGAAGACAGAAATGGAGATGAAGAGGAGGATGAGATGGAGATGGGGGCGAGAAGGAAACAGAGATGGGGATGAAGACAAGGACAGGAAAGGAGATGAGGACAAGATGAAGACAGAAATGGAGATGAAGAGGAGGATGAGATGGAGATGGGGGCGAGAAGGAAACAGAGATGGGGATGAAGACAAGGACAGGAAAGGAGATGAGGACAAGATGAAGACAGAAATGGAGATGAAGAGGAGGATAAGATGGAGATGGGGGCGAGAAGGAAACAGAGATGGGGATGATGATGAAGACAGGAAAGGAGATGACGACGTGATGAAGACAGAAATGGAGATGAAGAGGAGAGAGAAGGAGACAAGGACAGGAAAGGAGATGAGGACAAGATGAAGACAGAAATGGAGATGAAGAGGAGGATGAGATGGAGATGGGGGCGAGAAGGAAACAGAGATGGGGATGAAGACAAGGACAGGAAAGGAGATGAGGACAAGATGAAGACAGAAATGGAGATGAAGAGGAGGATGAGATGGAGATGGGGGCGAGAAGGAAACAGAGATGGGGATGAAGACAAGGACAGGAAAGGAGATGAGGACAAGATGAAGACAGAAATGGAGATGAAGAGGAGGATGAGATGGAGATGGGGGCGAGAAGGAAACAGAGATGGGGATGAAGACAAGGACAGGAAAGGAGATGAGGACAAGATGAAGACAGAAATGGAGATGAAGAGGAGGAAGAGATGGGGATGATGATGCAGACAGGAAAGGAGATGACGAAGTGATGAAGACAGAAATGGAGATGAAGAGGAGGATGAGATGGAGATGGGGGCGAGAAGGAAACAGAGATGGGGATGAAGACAAGGACAGGAAAGGAGATGAGGACAAGATGAAGACAGAAATGGAGATGAAGAGGAGGAAGAGATGGGGATGATGATGCAGACAGGAAAGGAGATGACGAAGTGATGAAGACAGAAATGGAGATGAAGAGGAGGATGAGATGGAGATGGGGGCGAGAAGGAAACAGAGATGGGGATGATGAGACAAGGACAGGAAAGGAGATGACGACATGATGAAGACAGAAATGGAGATGAAGAGGAGGATGAGATGGAGATGGGGGCGAGAAGGAAACAGAGATGGGGATGAAGACAAGGACAGGAAAGGAGATGAGGACAAGATGAAGACAGAAATGGAGATGAAGAGGAGGATCAGATGGAGATGGGGGCGAGAAGGAAACAGAGATGGGGATGATGATGAAGACAGGAAAGGAGATGACGACGTGATGAAGACAGAAATGGAGATGAAGAGGAGGATGAGATGGAGATGGGGGCGAGAAGGAAACAGAGATGGGGATGAAGACAAGGACAGGAAAGGAGATGAGGACAAGATGAAGACAGAAATGGAGATGAAGAGGAGGATGAGATGGAGATGGGGGCGAGAAGGAAACCGAGATGGGGATGATGATGAAGACAGGAAAGGAGATGACGACGTGATGAAGACAGAAATGGAGATGAAGAGGAGAATGAGATGGAGATGGGGGCGAGAAGGAAACAGAGATGGGGATGAAGACAAGGACAGGAAAGGAGATGACGATGAGATGGAGACAGAGATGGGGATAATGATGTGATATATCAGACATGGACAGCTCTAGATTACCTGTAAATAGTGAACAAACCTACCTTCTTATCGCCTGTGAACTTTGTGGCCACAATGCGAAAGATTAAGTAAGTCCAGATGATATGAAGAACCTGCAGGATCCAGAGCAGTATGTTGAGGAACCAGTAAGCTGGCCAGATAGCATTATACTCCAGAGATGTAAAGGTCGCTGAGCGTACAATCCTAAAATACAGATGAGAAATACGCGTATACAATACAATTAATGAGTAAGTGGAACAAAATACGTCTGGACATGTTGTCAATCTTCCATTGATTCATTACTTACACAGAACATTTTGTTTTATATCATCCCAAAACAACAGATCCCAGAAGGATCTCTGTCATTGTTTGATCTTTATTTGTTCTTTAAAAGTTAATTCTTTTTCCTTTCCTTCTCTTCTCTGTTATTGCCTTGCATGAAAATTTGAACATTCCTTTGCAGAAAAAGAAAGACTGCCTTTTTGTTTTTCTAATCAGACTGAAAATCAAACCAGCACAACTAGGGACCGATGGGAACCTATATTGTGAATTTGAAAGAGATCCATCCTGTACTTCTAGAGCTATATAGTGATAAATTTCCAAAGTCAAAATCCAAAATTGCCACCTGTCGGCCATTTCACTTTTTTAATCAGTCACAAAATCAAACAGGCACAACTAGGGACTAAGCAGAACATACATAAGAAATTTGAGAGATATCCATCTTGTACTTCTCAAGCCATAGCGATTAAAAACTTTCAAAGTCAAAATCCAAGATGGCCACCTTTCAGTCATTTTGTTTTTCTGATAAGTCTCAAAATAAAACAGGCACAATTCAGGACCAACGGGAACTACTTAAGAAATTATGAAATCCATTACTTCTCTAGAAAACAATAATTGTTTATGGATGGACTGGATGGAGGGATGACCGATGTAAGGCAATTTGATCATCAGATGGTGGGCCAATAAAAAGACCGAAACATTTTGACATAAAAGGAAGGTAACCTTGATAAAAGGATTTTCTCCCTTCTCCTGTCATTACAAAACATCCTCCATTTACCAATTACACATTGGAAACATTATCAGTGAACCTGCTACATTGTGATTGTAATCAGTATTATTAGAACTGAACTTACCTGAATGGGTAGATATATGTCCTGGTAATTAACCACACAACTAAAAAGACCCCAAACAGTACATCTGTAAGGGTGGCTTTCTTCACATAGTTGGCCATTTTAGCTCCCTAAAATCATAAGGAAAGTATTTCTTTAAAAAAAAACCCCGAGAAAATCAGTTTGAAAATGAATTTACACGAGACGTGCATTTCTATCTTATTGTAACATATTATAGAAACTGTAACCATGTGATAGTAACTGTAACAACGTGATAGTAACTGTAACCATGTAATAGTAACTGTAACCATGTGATAGTAACTGTAACCATGTGATAGTAACTGTAACCAGGTAATAGTAATTGTAACAACGTGATAGTAACTGTAACCATGTGATAGTAACTGTAACCAGGTAATAGTAATTGTAACCATGTGATAGTAACTGTAACCATGTGATAGTAACTGTAACCATGTAATAGTAACTATAACCACGTGATAGTAACTGTAACCATGTAATAGTAACTATAACCACGTGATAGTAACTGTAACCATGTAATAGTAACTATAACCACGTGATAGTAACTGTAACCATGTAATAGTAACTATAACCACGTGATAGTAACTGTAACCACGTGATAGTAACTGTAACCACGTGATAGTAACTATAACCACGTGATAGTAACTATAACCACGTGATAGTAACTATAACCACGTGATAGTAACTGTAACCATGTAATAGTAACTATAACCACGTGATAGTAACTGTAACCATGTAATAGTAACTATAACCACGTGATAGTAACTGTAACCATGTAATAGTAACTATAACCATGTAATAGTAACTGTAACCATGTAATAGTAACTATAACCACGTGATAGTAACTGTAACCATGTAATAGTAACTATAACCACGTGATAGTAACTGTAACCATGTGATAGTAACTGTAACCACGTGATAGTAACTGTAACCATGTGATAGTAACTGTAACCACGTGATAGTAACTATAACCACGTGATAGTAACTGTAACCACGTGATATTAACTATAACCACGTGATAGTAACTATAACCACGTGATAGTAACTATAACCACGTGATAGTAACTATAACCACGTGATAGTAACTGTAACCATGTAATAGTAACTATAACCACGTGATAGTAACTGTAACCATGTAATAGTAACTATAACCACGTGATAGTAACTGTAACCATGTGATAGTAACTGTAACCATGTAATAGTAACTGTAACCACGTGATAGTAACTGTAACCACGTGATAGTAACTGTAACCATGTGATAGTAACTGTAACCACGTGATAGTAACTATAACCACGTGATAGTAACTGTAACCACGTGATATTAACTATAACCACGTGATAGTAACTGTAACCATGTAATAGTAACTATAACCACGTGATAGTAACTATAACCACGTGATAGTAACTGTAACCATGTAATAGTAACTGTAACCATGTGATAGTAACTGTAACCATGTAATAGTAACTATAACCATGTAATAGTAACTGTAACCATGTAATAGTAACTATAACCACGTGATAGTAACTGTAACCATGTAATAGTAACTGTAACCATGTAATAGTAACTATAACCACGTGATAGTAACTGTAACCATGTAATAGTAACTGTAACCATGTAATAGTAACTGTAACCATGTAATCCACGACCGTGTTTTTGCGGGGGATAACAAATGTTGCCTAGTAGAATTAAAAACCAATGCTATTTCACTGTCTGTAATAAGCCCACCCCATGACTATGAATCAGAATATATCTGTAGGCTCCCTGACTTCATGTCAGATCAAATATAATCATAATGCTTTGACTTAGAGGTAAAGTTTGACTCCCTTCAATGTAACAAAATTGAGCTGTACATACGGCCATCCAGAAGTCAACAGCATCATGAACAAGCAAGACGAGGGTTCCGATGCGAATCTGGTTTGCAGCAAATGAAAAGTAGATGAGCAAAATGGTGACAATGTGGTGGACAACAAGTTCTTTGAAATCCTTCCTCTTGTGGTCTGTTACCAGTGTAAACACAAGGTTCCAGTAGAATCCCAGTTCTATTGTGTAGTACCAGTAGACATCATTGGGAACATGCTGCAAAGTTCAAAAAATAGTTTAAGTCAAACTGTACAATGAAATCTGACTTTATTGAAATTGTTTCAAGGTCCATAAATGATAGGTGTTAAGGACATTTTCTATACCAGGTTTTCTTTAAGATAAAATACATCCATAAGGCTGAAATTGGAAAATGTCACTATTGTCAATAAAACATGAATGACTTTCTGTAAATTTGGACTGATAACTGATTCAGACTTTTCTTTAAAAAGTAACATTGACCTTGACCTTAGAAATATAAACAGACTAAAGTTTTAACAACTAAGAGATAAGGTGTGTTGTTGATTCAAAGTGAGACAAGACAGACCTGCATTACACTGTAAGTACTATATCTCCGCTCATCCTTCTTATACACAAAATGTTGAGGGTATAAAATCATGAATATACCTCATCAACGTGATGTATTTTATAAACTACTCAGGGAGTGTATTTCTGTTTTATCCATCAGCAAGATGGCAAGCTACAGTTCCCCACATAAACATGATGTATTTTATAAACTACTCAGGGAGTGTACTTCTGTCTTATCCATCAGCAAGATGGCAAGCTACAGTTCCCCACATAAATGTGATGTATTTTATAAACTACTCAGGGAGTGTACTTCTGTCTTATCCATCAGCAAGATGGCAAGCTACAGTTCCCCACATAAATGTGATGTATTTTATAAACTACTCACGGAGTGTACTTCTGTCTTATCCATCAGCAAGATGGCAAGCTACAGTTCCCCACATAAACGTGATGTATTTTATAAACTACTCAGGGAGTGTACTTCTGTCTTATCCATCAGCAAGATGGCAAGCTACAGTTCCCCACATAATAAGATAATATATGAAAACAAACATATCATTTGATGTAGGTCAAAGGTCAAAATGTAGGTCAGCTTGACCAATTCTTGATACATAACACACTGCCTCACTAAGGTGAACCCCAAGTATGAAGTTTTAGTGACAAGTAACGTAGGACATACAGCCAAGACAAGGTAGCAGAAGGACAGACATACACATTGCTAAAAGTACCATTGTTGGATTATGTTTCTGTTAGGATTGTACACTGATATCTAACAATCCCATCCATAATTTATATACTGTTTCAAAATAAATGTACCTGTCTTCCACTGGATATCCAGCAATACTTAGAATCCCAGAAGTAGGGTTTCTGAAACAAACAATACACATTAATCAGTACTGTTATAAAATAAATATATACACTTACTCTTCCTGAGCCCCTGGTCTTCTTCTCTTTGTACTTACTCAGGAGCCTCCATGTAAATCTTTATTGTATATTGTACCCTTGTTTCACTTAACTTGAGTCTGAATTATGATTATGTTTATATGTAGGTATTTTCTTGTTGTTAATATATCCCATAGTTATCCTATAATAAGTCTCAAGACCAACTTATAATTCCTGACTCAAAGTATGGAGTAGGCTTACTACAGGATAATAAAATATATTTTAAGGCATTTCTGTGGAGGTGAAAAAACATACAGTAGGGCTTATTATCCCATTGATACATGTCTCTTTATAATTGGAATTTCTCACTCAATGACTTCAGAATATTTCTGTTTTATACAAGGTAATATTGGAGACGTTCCATCATATACAAAACATACAGCATGATATTTATCTATAGAATTTCCATAGTATATTTCAATCAGACTAACACACAAACAAATATCTCGGGTAAACTTACATCCCACAGAACATACAGGCCAGCGAAGAAGCTGACGGAGTAGAAAAGGAAGTGCCAGCTGAAAGTAAAAAAAGGTGTATTAGAATGTTGTTATCAGCTCTAAAATAGAAGTTTTTTTTCAGAGAAGTAAGCAAAGTTATTTCAATATGTAATAAAATCATAACTGAAAAGAAATTCTGTAAAGACCAGTAATTTTGATGGTTCAAATTTCAGAATTTCTCAAAAAATTTGAAGAAAAAACTGATGATTTTTTTGTAGGAGTTATGAAAGGACTTTTGTTTTCATATTTCTATTTCTATTTCTGGTGTTTAAACTTTATATGATTACACTCGAAATATGACTTTTGTGTAGTGACAAATGAAATCTATTATAAATGACAACTTTCACTGACAGTATTGTGTATACAAATGGTCTTAACTATAGAATTCAATTTTGTTTTCTAACATTTCAGAAGGCAGACTTTTCCATATCAATGCTGGCATTATCTTAGCTATATGAGTACATCAACTGTCCTATCAAGATTTAACCTGCAAGAGTTGAAACATGATGTCATATTATAACCATTTTATGACCTCACAACCATTTTATGACATCACAATCATTCTATGACATCATAACCTTTTTATGACATCACAACCAGTTTATGACATCACAACCATTTTATGACATCACCATAGTTTTTTAACATCACAACAGGCAACACGACCTGAAATGAAGCTCAACACTATAGCAAGGATTGTATTCACTGTTTGAGGCATGTTACATGTAAAAGTTGGCAAGTTTATCAATCAAAGGCATAGCATACCTTTGATAATATGTAAACTTCAGAAAATATGATAATGACATGATCAGGTAACATATATTTATATAGGGTTATTTCTAATTTACTTCATCTATTAGAGGTTTTATACATGCTGCGATGGTGCAGTTGGTGCAATATTTGAAACGTGTGGGTATAAAACATCCAAAGTGTGTGGTTTTCTCCCTACACAAGGGCAGTTTGTACTTTTTAGAAAGTTGAAATCACAGACCCAGCTAATGTAATCACACTGGTTTTTTCCTTGGGTAAGATGCTTTATCCAAATTGCTCTGTAAATAGAATGTGATGGGCCTCCTGAATGATGTTCAGTGAGGCAGCGACCGGTTTCAGTAAGCAGTGCCCGTAATGATCCACACTGTTCACAGGGTGATGACCCAGCGAATAAATAATTAATACCTGCATTCCCTGAACTTTTTCATCCTGCCCGGCATTTCTTGACTGCGTCGGTGTCTGAACCATCTTTGTATCTGCCGTACTGTCAGGCTTGTCTTCTTGGACAATTCCTGTTGATAAACAAAACAACATTGTTGCTTATCTGTCACAAGTTTCACTCCTCTTACAGTATACATACAATACACCTTCAACTTGAGCACCCCTACATACGTTACATATAACGGTTAAGTAGGTCTATACATACGTTACATATAACGGTTAAGTAGGTCTATACATACGTTACATATAATGGTTAAGTAGGTCTATACATACGTTACATATAACGGTTAAGTAGGTCTATACATACGTTACATATAATGGTTAAGTAGGTCTATACATACGTTACATATAACGGTTAAGTAGGTCTATACATACGTTACATATAACGGTTAAGTAGGTCTATACATACGTTACATATAACGGTTAAGCAGGTCTATACATACGTTACATATAATGGTTAAGTAGTTCTATACATACGTTACATATAATGGTTAAGTAGGTCTATACATACGTTACATATAACGGTTAAGTAGGTCTATACATACGTTACATATAATGGTTAAGTAGGTCTATACATACGTTACATATAACGGTTAAGTAGGTCTATACATACGTTACATATAACGGTTAAGTAGGTCTATACATACGTTACATATAACGGTTAAGTAGGTCTATACATACGTTACATATAACGGTTAAGTAGGTCTATACATACGTTACATATAACGGTTTAGTAGGTCTATACATACGTTACATATAACGGTTTAGTAGGTCTATACATACGTTACATATAACGGTTAAGTAGGTCTATACATACGTTACATATACATATAACGGTTAAGTAGGTCTATACATACGTTACATATAACGGTTAAGTAGGTCTATACATACGTTACATATAACGGTTAAGCAGGTCTATACATACGTTACATAAAACGGTTAAGTAGGTCTATACATACGTTACATATAACGGTTAAGTAGGTCTATACATACGTTACATATAACGGTTAAGTAGGTCTATACATACGTTACATATAACGATTAAGTAGGTCTATACATACGTTACATATAACGGTTAAGTAGGTCTATACATACATAACGGTTAAGTAGGTCTAAACATACGTTACATATAACGGTTAAGTAGGTCTAAACATACGTTACATATAACGGTTATGTAGGTCTAAACATACGTTACATATAACGGTTAAGTAGGTCTATACATACGTTACATATAACGGTTAAGTAGGTCTATACATACGTTACATATAACGGTTAAGCAGGTCTATACATACGTTACATATAACGGTTAAACAGGTCTATACATACGTTACATATAACGGTTTAGTAGGTCTATACATACGTTACATATAACGGTTAAGTAGGTCTATACATACGTTACATATAACGGTTTAGTAGGTCTATACATACGTTACATATAACGGTTAAGTAGGTCTAAACATACGTTACATATAACGGTTAAGTAGGTCTACTGGAGTCTACTAGCTTTGACATATACAGTTTGATTTGTGAACTTTTACTAAAGTATTTTGTTTTTAAGCAAAACTGTCCTCCTTCCTATCAAAAAAAGGTTTTGTAACACTTATATAGGCTATCTTAAAGACAAGCCTCGAGTCACAAAAACATCTTAATTCTGAAAAAAGAAATGCCATCAATTCTAAGTTTTGCGTTAAAGCTGAGAAAGATTTTGAACTGAAGATAAATAGAACAATTTAGTGAGGTTTTGATTATTTTTTCACCAAACTGAAAATTCCTACATAAAAATCTACTTCCATACACACTCAATATTCAATTTTCCAAAATAAAGTTCATCAACAAATGCATGTGCAGTTGGATGGAATTCCTTTCATAGTGTAAACAATATTTATTATATTGCTGCTTTTCACTTTCATATCGTAGCCAGCTGTGGCAACTAATTTTCATGAAACAGACTATACTATGACCTACAAGGAGAACCTTTACAATATTTGACTTTCATGAATTTGTTTTGATGAGGAGATTAGGGAAAGTAAATTGTACTTGAAAGAAATGTTATATCCAGACAGGTATTTTATTACCTGGGCTTGTTGCTGTTCAGGATACTTGACAGAAGAATATGTAGCTTCCAGAGTGGGGTTCACCTCTACAGAGTATTGCTTCTTGAAGGTCAGACCCATGTACTTGGCAAACGGGACCACCAAACATCTAATAAAGCAAAGTAAAACAAGATATATCACCATGGCAACAGAGAACAAATTTAAAGGAACAAAAATACAAAAAGAGGCCTGATGGACCTGTTTCACCCCCCTGTTCTGCAGCTTGTCAAGAGAAGAAAGTTTTGATCCTGTAACTTTCATAGTTCCCTTGTTCCACAGTATGACAAATGAAAATTGTTTATTCAAATTCATCTAAAAAATCCAGCTTTGACTGATTTCATGATGAAATATAGTTACCAATTCTACAATAACAATTCAGAATTTAAATTCTGTAAAATGTGTATCCTGACCGAGATCTGGAAAACATCTGACAACATTATGGCTGTGGGAATTAAAACACACAATTCACAAAACAAAACAAGAAGACATCATATTACTGGCCGACAATCAAGCCATTGTTTGTTTTTGATTTGTACACAGGACAGCTGGAATTTAAAGGAGGACTGAATCTGATATCTTATTCAGTGTCTCCTCAAACACACAGTCCTTGATAAAATCACAGCTATTTCTGTGTCTTCACGTCAAATCAAATGATTAATTTTGGGTTACACATAAGACTGCCAACTTTCTTGTTACATTTGCAGACTATAGTAAAAGTAGTTCTGTGTATTTCATAATAAAATCTTACTTCAAATTTTTGGTCTAAAGAAAAATTACCTGAATTTCTATTTCAATGAAACTGCATTCACATCACAAAAAAAAACAATATTTTTCTCAGTATATCAGATATCATATGTATTAAAACTTGGACTAACCACAAAGTTTTCAGATTGGAAATACATGAATGCATTTTTCAAAACAATTTTGCTGAAAGATTTCCTATTGTTCCTGGCTTTGAATGATGCACATTTACATGTTGTTTTATTATCAAAGAGAAGATGTTGTTGCAGAGTGTTTAAAGGATATTTTATCATACCGTACATGTCATAAGTTTTGTTTCTGAATCACATATACCATTGTAGACTGTTATTAAGATCGAGTCTTTCAGACGAAGAAATTTTAATAACTTGAATGTTTTGTTTTCATATCATTCTTAATCATAGGTAGTGATTTTCAATTATGTCTAGTGCTAATTGGTTTTGACGAAACTTTTCGCAAGAAATTATCTATAACCCCGCTGATGTGAGTTAAATATCAATTTTAAATACCTGTATCTGCTTAAAACATAAACGGTCTTTGCACACTCCATTTAACAAATATTTGAAGTCATTGTCTTGTAATAATTAATGAAAAACTTGGATTACATTCAAGTAATGTACTTGCATAAATTCAGGTGTACTGTTCTGGAAATGATCCAAAACTTCAAGTCTGAACACACAGGATAAGTTAGTTATAATAGTTGTAAACAATTTCATAAAAACTGCTTCCTTTAATGATAGACCTTCAATTTACACCAGTTAAAGGTAAGGTATTGTCTATATTTAACAAACTAACTTCTGTTCTAAAGGTTTTGTGATACTGAATTTGGGGCCCTCTTTCCGATGGCCAAATTCCCAACAGATAAAGTTTTCTCCTAAACATTCCTATCCAACTGATCAATAACCTTTCAAACATTCAGATATCAGGTCCTATCCCCAATGCTAAAAATTTGGACCCATCCTTTTTAAAATTAGAAGCTTTCATTTAAAATGGTAGCAATTTTTCCTATTAATAATAAATCAATTTTGAAATAACATCTATATGATATGGTATAATAAGATTAATAAATTATTGTTTTACATAGTAAATATACAATACCAGAATGACCTTGATGTCCTGCAGAAATGAACATGGAGGCCCCAATATATATACTAAAATGAAAAAGGAATGCCGTGTAACCTAAAAAGATTCTTTTAAATGATATAATTTAATGTTACATTATTTCATTCATTTTTGTATACAATTTCATCTGTTTGGAACCATTTGTTGAAGGTTCTATCGATTATCAATGTTAATTATGCCAAAAATATCCCCCTTTTAGCGATGACCCTATTTGTATTGCGCAACACGGCCGGACATTTCAGTATCTTGTGTGTCCTCCATGCGCAGCTGTCGCAGCCCTGATTCTTCTATGCATGGAATTCATCAGGGTGTTAACCCTTGCAATGGGGATGTTATTCCATTCTTCATGCAAGGCAGATTAGTGGGGGCATTTGGACGTCTCCTAACTCTCCTATCCAATTCGTCCCACAAATGCTCAATTGGAGACAAATCTGGACTGAATGCTGGCCAATTGATTGGGATTACGTTATTGTTGGCAAGAAATTGCTGACAAACTCTAGTTACATTGGGCCGGGCATTGTCTTGCTGGAATATCAGGTTCCGTTCTTGCACACATGGCACGGCAACTAGGCGAAGGATTTGTCTCTATACCTTACGCTGGTTAAATTACCGCCAATCACAGTCAGGGGTGATTTAAACCCATAGGAGATACCACCCCAAACACATACTGAACCACCGCCAAACCTATCCCGCTCAGCGCCGCACGCGTCAGTGTAACATTCCCCTCGACGTCAATATACACAACGTCGCCCGTCCGAATGGTAGAGAATGAAGCGGGATTCATCAGTGAAGAATACCCGTCTCCATTGCCTCATAGGAAAATTTCTGGGCGAGTGTGCTTGTAACCAAGCCAATCGGCGTTGGAGACACGCAGGAGTTTGGGGCAGACCAACATAGGGACGTCGGGCTCTTAGGCCATTGACGCGTAATCGGTTTCGAACCGTATCCGGATGAATATGGCGGTTATGACTGCCTATAGTGTTATTTGCAGTTTCGGTAGCTGTGAGATGGCGATTACGTAAGTGAGAAAGTCTTATAAACTGATCCTGATGTGGCGGTCAATGACCCTCCCCGTCACTCGCACACGTTGGACAAGACATTGAATTGTCCGAATATGCACACCAAAATGTGCAGCAACCTGAAGTTGGCCCTGACCCTGCAAAAGCATTCCTATAGCCTGTCCTCGCTGGACTTCCGTCAATCGTGGCATGAATGTAAATTGCTTAATTCAAATCAAACTTTGAAAAATCAATCTGAATACTTGAACAGTATCAAAAAGACTGAAAATTTCCATTGGCGAACTCAATGACCTTCCCCTGCACAGGATTCTTGTATTTTAGCACGTGCCTCGCACGGAGCGCGGAGGTCAGGTATTGTGTGATTTTAAACACGTGTACCTAGTGACCGCGAACAACACATCAACCTGACCGAGTGTCATTATTCTAGGCCAAGCAATAAATCATTTGTAGTATATTTAGTGTACCCAGCATTTCTTTTTCGTGTTAGTATAAGTTGATTTGGTTAAAAAACACCAAAATAATGAAAAAAAAAATCTTATTTGACAAATACATAATACAACTGTCAAAAGAGATACACATGATGTTTCTGCAGATCTTGCTCACAATGAAGTGATCATTGTAGAAGGGTATTTAGCAACATTAGTTTTGTTTTAAGGTAAAGGTTAAATCTTCATGTGTTGTTTGTTTAACTCAGGATTTTATTTATGAAATTATAAGAGAATTTTGGCACTTAAAAATATAACTATTTGTAATAAAAGTTCAATGAATGAAGATTTCCTTATTCAGGTTTATCTCCATCTTCAGGTCTATTTCTGACACCATTACAAGCATTTGGGTTTTTGTTGCTTTACATTCTATTTAAAATCAAGGCTATTTAAAGATGTGCAAGGTTCGGGAAGTGATGGAAAGACGGTGTTCCAGAAGGATAAAACCCACCTGTTGCCAGTACTTAGCAACAGTCTAATGTAAGCCTCAAACACATGGCTCAGAGGAAGAGGGCTAGTGATAAATATGGTCAGACACCTTAACCACTTGGCCACTACATTACAAAACAGGGAAAGCGTATAAGTGCATTTTTATGTACGAAAAATCAGAGTTGAATCTGTTTTAAGATTTTCTTGCATATGATTTGATTCTGTTGTTGTATACCTTATTTGTGAATGTGACATTTCTTATAGGTTGACCAAGATTTACATGATGAGTGTTGTTGATGAAGCAGAAGACACCTATTCTTTCGGAACACCTGGTCTTATTCTCCGTCTACTTTTCAGGGGTCTCTGTGTAAATCTTACTTTTGGACATATTTTGCCCTAATTTTGTCAAATTTGATTTCAGATTATGATTATGTTGACATGTTGGTATTTCTCGTTGTTTTTTGTCCTAGTTTTATTGAATTTTAGTTCAGACTATGATTATGTTGACATGTTGGTATTTCTCGTTGCTTTTTGTCCTAGTTTTATTGAATTTTAGTTCGGACTATGATTATGTTGACATGTTGGGATTTCTCGTTGCTTTTTGTCCTAGTTTTATTGAATTTTAGTTCGGACTGTGATTATGTTGATATTTCTCGTTGTTTTTTGTCCTAGTTTTATTGAATTTTAGTTCAGACTATGATTATGTTGACATGTTGGTATTTCTCGTTGCTTTTTGTCCTAGTTTTATTGAATTTTAGTTCGGACTATGATTATGTTGACATGTTGGGATTTCTCGTTGTTTTTTGTCCTAGTTTTATTGAATTTTAGTTCGGACTGTGATTATGTTGACATGTTGGGATTTCTCGTTGCTTTTTGTCCTAGTTTTATTGAATTTTAGTTCGGACTATGATTATGTTAATATTTCTCGTTGCTTTTTGTCCTAGTTTTATTGAATTTTAGTTCGGACTATGATTATGTTGATATTTCTCGTTGCTTTTTGTCCTAGTTTTATTGAATTTTAGTTCGGACTATGATTATGTTGATATTTCTCGTTGCTTTTTGTCCTAGTTTTATTGAATTTTAGTTCGGACTATGATTATGTTGACATGTCTTGTTGTTTTGGATATGCTTCTTTTTTTCTTCTTCGTTTTTCTGTTGTTGATAAAAAAGATGATAGATTGTTTCTTTTATCAGACCGGTATTTAATCCCTGGATATTTGAACTTTAGACAGACTCGCTACCATATGAGCTACCTGGCAGTCAACGATAGATTAAATTCAGTTCCGCTACAATGTTCTCATTCAATTTCATATCTTGCACGAAATCTATCGCTGATACAGGGTAAAGATATCAGGTATATCTTTAAATTGACACATAGAATGTTGCACTATTGTCCTTTGCATGTTGAAATTGGACGGCCGGCCCAAACCAGGAATACTTTTCATACATCTTCTAGATGTATTTTACCATGAAGTGATGTTTTACATCGATGGTGCCATGAACAGAAACACGTGCCTACCTTTCATAAACAAAACGAACTCCAAGCAGAAGGACACCTAGGAAGAAGCTTGGAAGGAGAATATGTCTTTCTAATGGGTAATATTCACCGGGTGGGGGATTTTCGAAGTCTTCCCATGTAACATTCCCGGGTAGCCACACCCTTTCATTCCAAAACCATTCCCTGAAAGCTTGGACGGTCGCCATGACTGTTACCGACTCTGTGAGCTCTGCGTCAGATAGACGCTTAAATCAAAAGTGAACGCGCGTAAATTAAATATGACTTCAAAACCAGAGTACCATGAAGTCCACTTCAAACTAACTGAAATTGCCAAAGATGTGTGTGTTTTTAATGATATGTGTCTACATGGTGACAGGACAAAATCTACCATGAACTGTTGGTTGACACAATCTGAAATAGAAAACACTATATACTAAACACGTCTGTTCGAAAGCCTGCAGACAAATACATGTCCTGTCACGAATTGCTAAGATTTGACGCTAGAAGGGTGAAAGGCAATTTACACATCTTTCATTTTATCAAATTTTATTTTCTGCCCACTTATATGGCATTTCTGCTCTAAAACAAACACCTAAAAATTAGAGCGAGTCAGTTTTAAAGCACTTAAGTTTATCAAGATTTTAATTTATCACACGAACTTTCAGGAAAATGTAACCTATGTACACTAGAAATAAACAGAGATTTGCTGTTAAATCTTCTAACATTTTACAGAGCCATCCACCATGCTATCTTAAGGATTCACGTAAAACATTCTAATATTTTACAGAGCCATTCACCATGCTATCTTAAGGATTCACGTAAAACCTTCTGACTATACTTGTAGATATTGTATAATTTTAAACCTTCAAAGTAGCCAGTGAGGTATGCGACAAATAGTTTTGGGAATCTTGCTGCAAGTACCTGGAATTCCCTACCTGACCCCATGCGCAAAATTACTCCTTATAATGAATTCGGAATGGTGACCAGGCAGTGGAACGGACAGATTTGGAGATGATATTCACTTCTATCTGTTTGGTTTTCTTTTATTTTTCATTTATTTTGTATGGTCAGATATGTATGTTTTATAGTTTTTGTTTTATATCTTTTAGCCTAAATTCAGGATTGTCAGTTTTCGTGCTTCTTTCATTACTTTAGTAGATTAGTAACACCTGATGTTTAAGTGCTATTATGTAGTAAATTTTGCTGAATTTAATTTACATTTGCTTATTTGAATTTATTTTGCTTACTTAATTTTAAGTTGCTTAAAGCTACTATGTTTGCTTAATTTAAACTTTTGCTAAATTTAAGTGCATGCTTATTTAATTTAACTTGATTGAGTTACATATGTACGTATTTATTTTAACTTAACCTAGCTTTATGTATGTCTTATGTTTTAAATTAACATCTTTAGTAGTCTGTGGTCCATTGTGAGTATATAATGTTTTGGAACTTTTTAAATATAATGCTATACGCTTATGCTTTAATCTTGATTAACCAGTACCGTCTTATCATACTTTTGTATATATGCATGCTGTTTTGAAATATTTACCTATGTTTACAGACGGCTGTAAAAGCATTTGGCGTGTGTTATTGATATATATTTGAACCGACTTAAAATAAAATTGACATGTGCGTTGTTCTCTGATACAATATTTGCATGTATCTGGTTTCATGATATTTTCGACGAATTATAGATATCTCCACATCCATATAAATATACAGTCGATTGTATACCTTTGTGATAACTTTATTGGTATATTGTAATACCGGGCTTTGAAGTTTGGTGTCGCTAATCTGTCATCTTCAAAAGGAGCGTATCAGAATGTGATCAGTCAATTTTTCTCCTGGAAACAATCAAATTACTTCGCTTGTGTCTTCAGTTTTGCCATGACATGTTCCAGGGGTGCCGAGAACGAAGGTGATCCTAACTCACTGGAGTAATGAGGATGGTTCCAGGGGTACAGAGAGCGAAAGTGATCGTAACTCACTGGAGTATTGAGGATGGTTCCAGGAGTACAGAGAGCGAAAATGATTGTAACCCCTGGAGTATTGAGGATGGTTCCAGGGGTACAGAGAGCGAAAGTAATTGTAACCCCTGGAGTATTGAGGATGGTTCCAGGGGTACAGAGAGCGAAAGTGATTGCAACCCCTGGAGTATTGAGGTTGGTTCGAGGGGTACAGAGAGCGAAAGTGATTGTAACCCCTGGAGTATCGAAGATGGTTCTAGGGGTACAGAGAGCGAAAGTAATTGTAACCCCTGGAGTATCGAAGATGGTTCAAGGGGTACAGAGAGCGAAAGTTATTGTTACTCACTGGAGTATCGAGGATGGTTCTAGGGGTACAGAGAGCGAAGGTGATCGTACTTCACTGGAGTATCGAGGATGGTTCAAGGGGTGCAGAGAGCTAAAGTTATTGTTACTCACTGGAGTATCGAGGATGGTTCTAGGGGTACAGAGAGCGAAGGTGATCGTACTTCACTGGAGTATCGAGGATGGTTCAAGGGGTGCAGAGAGCTAAAGTTATCGTAACTCACTGGAGTATCGAAAATGGAGTTTCTTCAGTATTATGTCTAATTGGTATGCGTTGTTCTGACTCGAAGACTTCGAGGTATTCCGACAAACAATATACTTATAAACAACACAGAAAATTTGAAGACGGGTGATCTAATATTGGAAGACACTTATTGCATTTCGCACTTAGGCATATTGCTCATCATTTATTGAACCATAAAGTTGAAGTTACCTAAGTACCATAGACTACTATATAGCTTTATACAACAATAGATAAGACCATAAAATCACCTTTTAGCATAAATCACACGTTGTTATCTACTTGTGGTTTATAAACCGTTGTTTTAATGACATTTTCAGTGCTGATTTCATGGTAAAACTGTTGACATATAACGTTTCCACTGGTTTCTGTGTCTTTTTTTTTTTTTTAAATTCGGCTCGGAAACGAAAATGGAAAATGAATTCGAGATCTGGAGCAACAATAGAATAGAACTGTAGGATTAACCGACTGCAATATATATAGATTATAACTTTATCTGTACATTTTTATTGCACTATGTTACAGTGCGGTCGCAGAAAATAATTTATGTTGTAATTCGGTTGTTCTTGATTCCAAGTCTCCTTGTATATTGTATCTTGATTCGTTGGTTGGTTGGTGGTTTTCCGATTCTCGGGCGACGTGCATATATAGCGGAGTAGACCCAGCGACTGGTGCTGTCAGTAGGAGTTACCTCCCTTGCATTGAAGAGCTATTTGAATCATTGTTTTTTTTATAGTATAGTTAATATATATAAGAATTATTTATACAATAGTGTACTCTCTTGTAGATTTATTATTTGGGTGTAATCTTTAACAGATAAACTGATACTTTCCTCAACTATTTATGATAAAAGTTGTTTCTAATATTTAATACTCTCTACTGTTATATGATTGTAAATGTGTACTTTTTCGCTAAGTATATTAATTAGACAGATGTATCCTGATGATAATAGAGTGGACAAGTGCCTTTGTATCAGATATACCACATTCTTGTGTATTGTACTTGACTTGACACTTATCTATAATATCATTGACGTTTTCATGAACATTATTGCGCTGACTTTTGAAATATTGTATGCCACAAGGATTATTTCATGTTCCAGCCATCTTATGTAATCGATCTGGGAGTTTTTCCTTAATTCTGACGTCAGTGTTTTTCATTTGACCTACTTAATAACTCCTTTAGTAGGTATATATCGATTTGCAAAATAAAGGAAAATAATTTGTAAAATCTCACAGGAAATATTTACTGCTGCAGTGTCAAATAAGGAACCACTCCAGTCACATCGAGATATAAGTCTACTTTACAAAATAGGCTCACTTGGCACCAAATTTTATATTTGTATACAGGTTTAAAGCCACGTGTCAAATTTTACACTTACATGATCACTTACAATACATGTATATGTATGAGAGAATTATCATCTGAGGATATGGAACTGCTCAGCAGTGATCTAGTAAGATCTCTAAACTTTGTTCCGGTAAATGATTTAATAAACTAAATGAGAAAATGATATATAGAAAAATATTATCGGGGGTAACAGTTAGCAATTCTACATGAAACCCCCCTGTCATAATCAATTTTGGTGAAACGTCAAAAGCATTCTCGCAGATTCTACTAAGATTGAATTTTTCAGGTCGATATATAGATAATAAAATTAGTACACGTATGTTAAGATGACCTGTATAATATAACTTCATCATTAGGATGTGCCAGGTGAACGGTTTACCTGTAGAATGTCTATATACACAATTATACCACTAACAATGTTTCTATCCAATTTAAAACTAGCGTGAAGTCCTAGTAAATCATTATACAGACTGTCATCCACGTGACTGTCAGTAAGACACACTGTATCTACTCAGTCCTAATACAAGTGACTGTCAGTAAGACACACTGTATCTACTCAGTCCTAATACAAGTGACTGTCAGTAAGACACACTGTATCTACTCAGTCCTAATACACGTGACTGTCAGTAAGACACACTGTATCTACTCAGTCCTAATACACGTGACTGTCAGTAAGACACGCTGTATCTACTCAGTCCTAATACAAGTGACTGTCAGTAAGACACACTGTATCTAAGACACATACAGTCCTAATACAAGTGACTGTCAGTAAGACACACTGTATCTATACAGTCCTAATACAAGTGACTGTCAGTAAGACACACTGTATCTACTCAGTCCTAATACAAGTGACTGTCAGTAAGACACACTGTATCTATACAGTCCTAATACAAGTGACTGTCAGTAAGACACACTGTATCTATACAGTCCTAATACACGTGACTGTCAGTAAGACACACTGTATCTACTCAGTCCTAATACAAGTGACTGTCAGTAAGACACACTGTATCTATACAGTCCTAATACACGTGACTGTCAGTAAGACACACTGTATCTACTCAGTCCTAATACAAGTGACTGTCAGTAAGACACACTGTATCTATACAGTCCTAATACAAGTGACTGTCAGTAAGACACACTGTATCTACTCAGTCCTAATACAAGTGACTGTCAGTAAGACACACTGTATCTATACAGTCCTAATACAAGTGACTGTCAGTAAGACACACTGTATCTACTCAGTCCTAATACAAGTGACTCTCAGTAAGACACACTGTATCTACTCAGTCCTAATACAAGTGACTCTCAGTAAGACACACTGTATCTATACAGTCCTAATACAAGTGACTCTCAGTAAGACACACTGTATCTATACAGTCCTAATACAAGTGACTCTCAGTAAGACACACTGTATCTACTCAGTCCTAATACACGTGACTCTCAGTAAGACACACTGTATCTACTCAGTCCTAATACACGTGACTGTCAGTAAGACACGCTGTATCTACTCAGTCCTAATACTTCTCATATTTAGATGAAAATTGAAAGCTCACCAAAATTCGGGCCAGGTTTCAACATCCTTACACACCAATAAAAATAACAGTAAAATTACAGAAAACTTCGTAACCAAGACAACACTCATTAAGAGTAATCAAATTTTTCATACTTGCATAATTTACTTTTGAATTAAAGAATACTTTTATCCTTGTGTACAAAGTAGAATAAGAAATTTTATTTCACATCGAACACGGAAATTTTGGATTTCGGCGTACCACAAGGTTCAATTCTGTTTTCTTAACCAGTTGGTGATATTTGTCGTAAACATGGTCTTTCATTCCATTGCTATGCTGACGACACTCGGGTATATATGATTCTAAAACCTTCTGAGGAGTAAAATGATATGTCAGTCAAACTTGAATTGAGTCTTTCAGATATCAACAGTTGGATGATATGCAACTTACTTCAATCAAATCTAGACAAGACAGAAGTGATTGTGTTTACACCTAAGCGCCAGCAAAGCAAACTGTCAGCTCACCGTTGGCAGCAGTGCAATTACACCAGCACCAGTTGTGAAAAACCTTGGTGTGTACTGTGACCGTTCTTTGACAATGGAACAACAAGTTAATGCCATTATCAAATCATGTTATCTTCAAATTCACAACATAGGATGTATCCGTCAATATCTAACGTCAGACGCCTGTAAGACACCTGTTCATTCTCTTGTGACATCACTTGGATTATGGCAACTACAACAGGTTCAAAATGCTGCAGCTCGACTTGTGACTAGAACAAAGAAGAAATCACTTTACACCGGTGCTTTGTCAATTAATTGGTTGCCTGTAGAGTTCCGATGCCGATATAAACTTCTAGTACATGTGTACAATGCCCTACATGGACCCTTTCCTGGCTACTTGAAAGAACTTATAGTTCCATATGTTCCAGCAATGACACCGAGATCACCGTCTCAGTGGTAACATGTTTTCTGGTGTACAACAAACTACAGTCTACTGTCCCATCATACGTATATTGTATATCGCTAGTTCTTATTTCTATAATCACGATGCATAATGTTCACATACAGATGTACATGTGTTTCTAACGTTTAATACATCAGGAACTTATAGCAGAAGATTAAGGACATTACTTTAGCCATATGATGCAACACCCTAGTTTTCAACCCGATCTATTTCATATATATATCATATATTTAGAGTTTGATACCCTTTTTATTCCATCACTTTTATCTGTCTGTTCAGTGCGTTGTATAAACATTTTGATGAACACAATGTATAGAGATAGGCTTCCCTTTACCACACTTCAGTAAACCGTTCTTTTTTCTTCAAATATACTCCAGGGGTCACGATCACTGTCGCTCTCTACACCCCTGGAACCATCCTCGATACTCCAGGGGTCACAATCACTGTCGCTCTCTACACCCCTGGAACCATCCCCGATACCCAAGGGGTCACAATCACTGTCGCTCTCTACACCCCGGGAATCATCCTCGATACTCCAGAGGTTACGGTCACTTTCGCTCTCTGCACTCCTGGAACATGTTCTCGATACTCCAGGGGTTACGGTCACTTTCGCTTTCTGCACTCCTGGAACATGTCATGCCAAAACTGAAGACCCAAACGAAGTAATTTTATTGGTTCTAGGAGAAATAAAACTGACCAATCACAGGCTGATATACTCTTTTTGAAGAGCACAAAGGAGCGACACCCAACTTCAAAACCATTAAAATATACCATTATGCGACCCCGAGATTCGGCTGATGTACATCAAAGGATAAGACAAGTCTTTTCGTCTTGTCCACAAGGTGTCGCACATGGAACCTACAATTTTGCCATGTCCTGCTCCAGAGGTGCACAGAGCACCCATAGAATATGGAGAAAACAGACACTGTACATTACCTATATTTGGAGAGATAGCTACATCACCTGTATCAGATTTAGTGTACTGGTCCACCAATAGTCTTAACCTCGTCTAAATCTCGTCTAAACCTTGTCTACATCTCGTCTAAATCTAGTTTTAATTTTGTGCACTAGGTGTAAACAATTGCCTGCAGGCAAATTTTCATTTGCGAAGAGGAATTACTCTTACAAGATTTAAATCAAACACGTTGTATTTCACAATAAAAGTATTAACCTGACTTGCAGCACATGCTTATATGACCTTTGGTTATTAACTTGTTAAATATGTTTAATCGTATGCAGTTTTTTCTGTGGGATGCCATGAGATACGCCCCTTTCGTGCTTGTAGAGCCGAAGGCAAGAGCTGGTATTTGGGAACGGACATCACAGAAAATATGCCATTGCGTTCGAACGAAGTATAAATAGATATTGCATGGGATCGAAATATTATTGCGCGGGAATGAAATATTATTGCGTGCGGTGGAATGAAATATTATTGCTGTGGAATATCATTGCGTTGGGACGAGATATTATTGAGTTGGAACACAATAATATATATATTTTTGTGATGTCCGTTCCCAGCAACCGTATGTATCTCGTTCCTTTGCGCAAGAGCGCACGGCAAACTGAAACTGATCATGGGTGAATGGTTCATTGTGTACCATTTTACTGTATCCTGAGACACGTGAAGGCTTGGTGTACATATCTACATTAACTTGTTCGTATTCCATGTTCAAAATCCCAATGTGTTACAATTATTTATCAATATACTCTTATATCTGCACATTAATCTATGCAACCGGGTGTTTTCAAGTGTATATCAGAAAATGAGTCAACAGAAGCAATGTTGTTCTGACGATGTCGACATCGATCAGCGGTACGAACTAGGAACAAAAACTCACCTTCATTGATTTTTAGGAAACGCAGAATGTTACAATGAAGTTGAGCTATGTCTGTTGAAAAAATTATGTACTATTGTATCAGTACTGAAATGTATGTCAACAAACAAGTGAGGCGATTTTCGTGTTCAGGCATATGAAAGACGAACCCGTGGTAACATTGAACTGGCCGGGTTGATATATTCCGATGTATTTGTAAAGAAACGCTAGAGTTAATCAGAGGCGTGCATTATTTTATTTAGTGAGAAAACGATCAAATAATAATTCTCTGAGATGCCCTTATATTATCTGGTGTAAAAAAATCATCACTGGGAGCGAGAAATCTGCGCGTGCGTATATACTTAACCAGTAAAATTAACACCTCTACAATCTGGGTAGTTTAGGTATATTATCCGAACTCTAGTAACTTCCTACTAGCAAGCGATCAACTGTACCAAGCGTGTATGTAGGCTATCAAGCTAAGCCGATGGAGAACCTACAAGCTTTGCGAGATTGGTTCTGGAGCGAGAAGTTTTGGTTGTTGAATAATGTAACATGGAAAGACTTCGAAAACCCTCCACCTGGCATTTATTATCCTTTAGAGAGACACATTTTTCTACCAAGCATTGCTATAGGAATTATTTTTATTGGAATACGACTCGCTTACGAAAGGTACGTCTACCTGCGTTTAGGTCCTAGCAGACAGTGTTTGACCTGACACATCAGTACGGTCTAATTTTGATTTGACAGTCTTTGAATCTGATTTTAAGTAGTCAGTGTCTAGTTGTTTTGAACAATTATATATAATTTTGACCTTTCAGCTGTTCTGTGCTGCTGATTTGACAAGAATATTGTCAGTAGGTGCATCGTCATGTAGCATGTGCGAACGTTTGTAGTATGGCAAAGGTATCGGGTAAATTCAGGATTTTCCGTGATCCGTAGTAGGTGAAAAATCGACCGTGTTGTTTTTTGAACTTCTGAAATAAGCAAGTTCTTGTCTTCTTGACCAGAATGATATCTTTTTAAACCAAAGACAAATACGAATATTGCATCGTTTGATATGACATCCCAAAATATCTCTTTATTCTGTTTATATTGAGGTATAGTAAATAATGTTAAATATTTCTGTTTGGTGTTTTGAACATTGATTAAGACCAGCATTGCAATGTTTTTTTTATCTAAACAAGGAAAAAAATAACGATAATAATTAAGTTTGCAGAATTAAAAAAAAAATAATGTCTAAAATGTTTCATTGGGAGTCCGTTTTTATTCGGTTTATTTATTTGAACTTTGAAATATGTTCACAAAACATGTTAAGTCCTTGGCTGTTTATAAACTCAGAATAAGTACAGTTATAGTATGTACATGGTTTGTAGTCAATTTCTAAATATTCGATACTGTGTATGCAGTATGTATAGATTTCAAAAGTCAGTCAATCACCTTAACATGTTTTTCTGACCTAGTTTGCTGTCTAATGCAGTAGAACGTGTCTATTGTAGTGATTAGAACTGCATTGAAGTGAATCATACTGATACAATGTAGATTTAATCCTACTTGTTATGTGTACAATAACATGATACAGACGGGCAGACCTTAATGCTTTTAACAGAAATCTTATATTTTTGTTTTATGTAACTAACTTGGGTCTATTTATTGAATTCAAATGGTTGTATAAAATTTTCCCTCAGAAAAATAAAAAAAAAATGTGACAATTTTTTTGTACTCAGTCTGGGATCTGTATGGTCTAATGAACCATAAGGAGGTAAGATTTGAAAAAACAATATGGTTTATATCTGGATGTTGCCTGCTTTCAAAATAGATACGATTTTGACAAATTGATAGTGCACATTCAAGTGATACAACTGAACAAATGTTCTCAACTTAAACAGCTATAACAGGAATTTTCCAAGTAATCAAGAAATCCCTAATTGTATGGTTGTACATTTTGTATAATTGTTTGTACGTAGAAACAAGAAATCCCTAATTGTATGGTTGTACATTTTGTATAATTGTTTGTACGTAGAAACAAGAAATCCCTAATTGTATGGTTGTACATTTTGTATAATTGTTTGTACGTAGAAACAAGAAATCCCTAATTGTATGGTTGTACATTTTGTATAATTGTTTGTACGTAGAAACAAGAAATCCCTAATTGTATGGTTGTACATTTTGTATAATTGTTTGTACGTAGAAACAAGAAATCCCTAATTGTATGGTTGTACATTTTGTATAATTGTTTGTACGTAGAAACAAGAAATCCCTAATTGTATGGTTGTACATTTTTTATAATTGTTTGTACGTAGAAACAGTAATTTGATCACGTTGACATTCAGTTGGTGATAAACAGGAGCTTTTTGTATCACATGTGACTCGTGTTTATGAGGTGAATGAAATGATATTGAATGTCAGCTCAAGGATAGTAGAATGACTTAACATGCTCAACAATTGCATAATAGTATCATAATGAAAATAGCGTATGAATGCAGAGATAATTTTGGAACTGGAAAAGCATGATTTAAGTAAAATTGGTAAAAAATGATTGATTACAAGATAAAAAATCCTGGATTTGTTTCCATTTCATATGAAAAATATGTATTTTTTTTATGTTAGGCCATTGGAGGTAAGCATTAATGGAAAGTTGTTGTCAGACCTGTTTCATAAATCTCATATGAAATGGAAACCAGTGTAAAGTTATGTATAAAAGAATCAATTTGGTATGAGTTTGTATATATTCTCTTTCAAATGTATTTGCTAAATTCCTAGAAGTCGAGACCAGACGTTTGTGTATATATACCTATAGCAATTTCATTCTTACGCGCCGAGCAGTCAAAGCTTGGCCACTTTTATTTAGGGTGGACACTAAAGTACTGTTTGTAATAATTCAACCTAATAAATCCTAGCTAGCATACTCATGAGCACTTAGCAGCAGAATCACACGAGTTCCAGAAATTTCTGAATGTTTTAGGAGACGTGAAACATATATTAGAAGGTAATACAATTTTGGAAAAAAATGTTTAATTTCAATATTACGTCACTCTAAACTGTCTCATTTGAACACGATCTACAATGTGGTTGGTTTGGACGACTGGTTGAACAGTCCAAACACAATCTGTATAGTGTGCACAACAGACCATACAATTCAAATCTGCAATTAGCCAGAGTGGACAATAGGCCAAACATGTGGTATTTAATCAGTAATCGACATACTGGTAAGTCAGTACAACACACAGATTAAAAAACCTGGTTTTAAACAGGAATACTCTACATGTTCCTTCTCTATAGTATTTAACAGCTCTTTATACACTACACTATGCTAAGTTAATCCTATCAGTTTATTAAAGAACACTGGCCCTTGTCTGCATGCTTATTAGGTGTCTATAGTTTTTTCCATGCTTTTCCAAACTGTGGAAAATGATTCATTTTTAAGGATATGTTATAGTTCTAAATGTAGGACAATTTTTCCCATACTTTTCAGAAGTGTGGAAAAAACAAATTCTTACTAACTGGTTCAATCCAGAGATAAAGAGAGAAAAATACTGAATGTTGTTCAAATATGTGTGACTGAATGAGTAAACAACATAAAAAAAAAATACAAATTTTGAATTCATGTAAACATGCAGCTTTCAAGAAACAGATGCAGTTGCAGGTCATAGTGTTTCCTTCTGGTATTCAGTCAAAACAGAATTTACAATTTATTTGAAATTATATCATTATCTCATTTTTGTTATCACTCGTGCTTTGCCTTGAAAACTGCAAATTTCCAGTGGACAACATATTGTGATTCAGCAGAAATGTGGCCAGGTAACAGAAACATTAATGTTTTGTAAGAAAACACAAACGACATGAAGTTATGAAAACCTGATATGACTGTCATAGTTGATGTGCTATCATGGCCGGTAGTGTTTGTAACTGATTACATAATCTTCTACTTATCAGCATTCAGCTCCTTCAGTTTGAAACATTAAAGGTTTAAGCACACGTCTAAAAATATAGAAATTTAAAACTTACCACTATATAATCAGATATTTTTATTTGGCTCGGATTTCATTTTTTTTTTTTAATCACTACTTTATGGAAAGTTGATTTTGTTGATAAATATTGTTCAATAAATCTGCATGTACCTACTGTAATAGATTTAAAATGAATTGTGGACGTAAATATTTCATAAACTGAAAATATCCACATATTGAAGGAAAATCAATCTTTACAGAAATGAATGGTTTTAAAGTATTGTATTCGCAGTGGCAATGCCAACAAATATAACAGGTATGTTTTCACTATCCTGATTTTCTTAGCGTGGTGTGAGAGTTTTACTGTTAATCTGTTAATTGCCAACCTTTTGCTATGGACTGGTGATTGAGAATTTGGTGATGATTTATCGATTATGCAGTCAATGTAACTCACTTGTGGTTTGTTTTGGCAGGTTGCTGGTGGTCCCGTTTGCCCAGTACATGGGACTGACCTTCAAGAAACATTACACTATAGAGAAGAATCCTGTTTTGGAGGCTTTGTATAGCACTGAAAAGTATCCAGAACAACAACAAGTCCAGGTAATGCATAAATTTACAGGGTTATGACTGCCTCTACAAAATCTACATTTTGACCTCTTAATTTGACAATTTTTTTAGGAATTGATAGAATTTTGATACACTAATTCATTTGTGATTGGAGTGCATTTGCCCCTAGATTGCATAGCAAACTTGAGAAAATCAGACGCATATTTGTCATAGTTGTAGGGAAAACCTTGCAATTTAAGTTGACCTGTGTATTGGTCAATGAGCCCATGCTTGGTACTATAAGCCCATTAATCCACATCTACCATCACATTCTACTTTATGGTCCTGTAATAAGCCCAACCCTGTCTTTGAGTCCTATATTTGCCTCTCCAAGTTGTTCACAGGATAAGTATAGTACAAAGCTGTAGCTGCTGTAGTTATGATTGTTTGGTATGTGGAAGGTGGAGGTGTCACAGGGCATTCATATGTAGTTTTTGCTTGGCAGTATAGGACTTAGTGAGGGAAATTGAAAACTGAAATTGACGATCGCTTTCACTGTTGATCACTCATGCATGAACCTTCTCATATCCTCATCCTCTAAAAATTTGAAGCTGTAAGCAACCATGCATAACATAATGGATCAACTTATGGTGAATCTTTAGGTATAGACATTTACTTAATTCAAAACCTGACAGACTAATACATAAAAAGGTGACAATGTGATGATAGGTATGTTTTGTAAAGAGGGAAGTGGTTTTATTATGCTGTTTGAATATCTAACCATCTTCAGGACCTGGGTACACGTGTCAAGTTGTATTCACAGTGTTTGACCCACATATAATACACACACTGGTATACAAAATTAAAGGAAAAACTTCAATAAAACATCAGAATTATTCAGACTTCTTGTTATTGTGAGGCTAGAGAATTAGAGTTCAACTCTCATTTTTAGATTTCTTACGCTCGGGGACAGCTTGCTGTGGTTTCGTCCAAATGTTCCTTTCAGATCCTTATTAAAGAAAATCAAACCAGAAAGATTTGATTTTCTTCAATTACACAGAATTGAAGCATGCATTTCTAATTGTTCAGGGTCTAAAGAGAAATTTTTTATACATGTATGTTGTATATATCTACATATTTAAATATCTATCCCGTTTTAGCTAAATAAATATTGCTGATATATTAATTTTTTGATTTATTTAACGGATTTTATGTCCACTTTTACAGTCTTTCAGCCTCTCAACGGACGAGAGAAGATAGGAAAGTGAGTAGAGAGGAAATAGTAGTGGTATGAAACAAGGAGAGAGAGTGGGATACAGAAATGTGGTAGAGAGGGACTGTCTATACTAGCAAACTTCAGATTATAGTTCTAGCCTAACACTAACTTGGCATGTTGTATCAAGGACTAGTTAGGGACAGAGAGGAAGATGAAGGGAATCCTACATTTTATCAATATATTTATATTTTAGAAATCTGTCCAAATCATTTAATAGATAGTCTTGACTGGTAATCTAACCCTATCCTCAGAGAGCATGTACAATGACAACCATGATATATAGGATATAGAAATAGATCATTGTATATTTATAATTAAGGAAATGCTTGGCTGATGGCATTGGATAAAATATTTAAACTTTTATAACACGAAGCCCTCTTCCACCCAGATTAGCATAGGGATTATATGTCAATTATTTAAGTCTTGATTTAAAAATGAAAAAAAAAAATTAAATAAAAACAGGAAATCAACTTACAAGTAGAGAAAATATAAATGATTGTGTGAAGATAACTTTACATTGTTTTGTGAAAATGTTGGGCAAGAGGAAAGGGCTTATTATAGTGCCTCTGCTGGGGTTCGAACCCATGATCCCTGGCTTATCAGTCTACTGCTTTACTCATCATTCTAAAGAGAAATTCCTTGCCACAGTCATAGTGTTTGAAATATCTCAATACATATACCTGGTAGTGTAATTTTATGTACTTTAATAATTACTTCATTTAAAGATTAAATGAGGGTGTAATATCATCTCAGGACAATTTTTATGTTGTTATTTTTTTTAGATTATCATCCATAAAATACAGGCAATCTATCTTATACACTCAGTGAAGGATGTAAATGTATGTACCATGTACCAGCTAGTTGTATATACGTGTATGCACCGTGTACCAGCTAGTTGTATATACGTGTATGTACCGTGTACCAGCTAGTTGTATATACGTGTATGCACCGTGTACCAGCTAGTTGTATATACGTGTATGTACCGTGTACCAGCTAGTTGTATATACATGTATGTATTTTAAACATTTGTCAAGAATAAGATAAAAATGTGTATTGTATCTATAAAAAAAACAGTTATGCATTGTCAATAACATGTCAACATTTATGTAAATATCATCATTCTGTAAGTAAATATTTTGATAAGGACAACACTACATGCCAGAAATTAATTCTATCTTCAGGTATAACCAGTTCTTGTCTAAGTTTTAAAAATCCTGTTTTATATTTTGATATAATTGACATTATGTGGCTGAGTGGCTGAATGGCTGAATGTGAAAAAAAACTTTTTGTCTAAAAAATAACTTCCTTGTCATTCTTACATGTTTACTAAATTTCATTTCTATCATTATGTATGTTGTAAAGGGAGATAATCATGTTAACAATTATGGGTAAGAAATGAAAAGTCATGGCTAGTGACTGGTAATCAGTAGGATTTTAACCAGGGGGATACTTTACCTTTCCTTACCTCCGGTGTTTCTATTAGCTAGATGAGCTGTTTAGTCGTGTACAGACATACATTATATCATTGTATAGTATTATAAAATATAGTGAAATGTAATGTGTTGGCCCGGAATTATAGCAGGATAAAAGTTGTATACACGGGTTTGTTGTGTACAGAATGTATGAGATACACAGTAAATGTCATTAGGTTTAATGTGATCTATTTCCTTGGACATCTGTGTGCATGTCACGTTGGAATTAAGATGGTAGTAATACACTGTTATTGAAAATTTTCTTATAAACAGACATCTCAATATATATATACAACTCCACTTCTGCTGAAGTGAATCACAATGTCCTGGTTACTCCCTCATGCATTTACTGTAAACGTTGACTAAGCATATCTGTGACAGGTGAATGATTAGTATCAGGACATAATTTGATGATTCCTCTGTAAAGTACTCACAAGGGCCTCACCATTCATATACAGTATCCTAGTAATTCTTTTTTGTATAAAATCTGTGATTTGATCTTATCTGTACTCTCTTTTTTCATATGATAAATAGTGCAGTCTATTTAGAATTTTGAATGCACCAGTCTGTGGAACATAAGAATTATGATATTGATATATATGCTGTAGAAGTTACAAGCATAATGTTAACTTAATAAACCATGAGTATTAAATTCACCAAGCATGACATAAACCATTAATTAATGTGGGAAAAAAATTCCCAATTGGGCTGTATCTGTCGTTAAATGTGTAAAACATACAACATATGTCATAATTACTTAATGCAAAGTACCCTATAGACAATGACAAAATCATTGATGCCTTAAGTACAATATAACATTTCAGTGTTATAAATAGGTTACCAGAGATAAGTGAACCCACAAAACTTGTGACAATCAAGTTATCTGCTACAGTGATTTCTGTAGTCAGTTTGCTACTTGTGGGATTTATTGGTCTATTAACACCCAAGGTCAGTTTTCAGGCAGGGTGTTTAGCTGTCTCCCACTTACTGATCATGATACAGGAGGTCCATCACAGAAAAAGTCTTGTGATCCAGAGCATGTGATCCGGAGCATGTGATCCAGAGCAAGAGCCTCAAACAGTCAATTAAGCATTTACTGAAATTGCTACCTAAATTGATTATCAATCTTGTGTGGATTCAATGATCCCTATCTGGGGCAGTTCTAATGTTTCTTAGGAAGCTGGTATCATAAATTGTCTAGTGATACTATATGTTCTTAAGGAAACTACTAATTGCTATTGAAAGCCTTCAATGGGCTTCCTACATGTTGTTCAATGAGGTAGCCTGTTAGCTACCATCTATGCAAGGAAGCCATGTGACTCAAAATGACTCAACAACTAAGAATAGACTTTCACCATGCATAGCCAGAATATCTTTGTTTTACACTTTCAAAGTATTATTTAATAATTAATTTTGGTACATTTATACCTGAATTATATCTTTTTTTCTGTCTTGATGTCCTTTTGTTGAGCAAACATGTTGGTCAACATATTTTCTTCAGAGATCTAAGACTTTATGACAAAGGTAAAGAACAAGAAAACAAAAAGAATATGATAAATCGAATCCATTGAGATCTCCAAACATACTGATCATCAGATTATATTTATAAACAGCTGCCATCACTCTCAGGTGAAGTATTTGTAGCAAATTTTATTAATGTTATTTTGCAATAAACAGGAATTGTCCAAAAAGACGAGTTTAACAGAACGACAGATACAAAGATGGTTCCGACACCGACGCAGTCAAGATATGCCTGGCAGGATGAAAAAGTTCAGGGAATGCAGGTAAATATGAAAAAATTACAGACTATAGACAAAAGGATGCAAATTTGAAACAGTAGGCTAAAGTCTTATTTGAAAGCTGAAGTATGAATGTATTATGCTGATAATATTGGACAAATATATTCACTGGTTGAAAATTAAGTTTCATCTGTGGGTGGAAAAAACCCTGGGTGAATGTTTTCCTATATAACTTACTTTTAGGAATGGGACGTTGGACTTTTGTCAGAAAATAGTGAGTTATTGGTATGATTAAACCTATTGTAAATACATGCAAAGCTTACATACAAACTGATAGATAACAACGTAACTATTTATGTCTGGATTGCTCAGTTCCAATACACGATATTATCCATCAAATGCTTCAGTCTCTCTATACATGCAGTAAGATTTAATTGTAACTCACTACCTGTATACAACATGATAATTGTTTTACATAAAGTTTTAGGTTGATAGAAAAGCAAGTTCAAAACAAAAAACAAAAATTGCTATCATACAAAACATCAGATGGTGAGCTATTCAAATCTGTTTGCCTGTCCTTAAACAAATGTTCTCGATCAGATTTCATTGTCAGGAATATCAATGTCTGGGGTATCTTTGTCTGGGGTATCATTGCCTGGGGTATCATTGTCTGGGGTATCATTGTCTGGGGTATCAATGTCTGGGGTATCATTGTCTGGGGTATCATTGTCTGGGGTATCATTGTCTGGGGTATCAATGTCTGGGGTATCATTGTCTGGGGTATCAATGTCTGGGGTATCAATGTCTGGGGTATCATTGTCTGGGTATCAATGTCTGGGGTATCATTGTCTGGGGTATCATTGACTGGGGTATAAATGTCTGGGGTATCATTGTCTGGGTATCATTGTCTGGGGTATCATTGTCTGGGGTATCATTGTCTGGGGTATCATTGTCTGGGGTATCAATGTCTGGGGTATCAATGTCTGGGGTATCAATGTCTGGGGTATCAATGTCTGGGGTATCAATGTCTGGGGTATCATTGTCTGGGGTATCATTGTCTGGGGTATCAATGTCTGGGGTATCATTGTCTGGGGTATCATTGTCTGGGGTATCATTGTCTGGGTATCAATGTCTGGGTATCAATGTCTGGGGTATCATTGTCTGGGGTATCAATGTCTGGGGTATCAATGTCTGGGGTATCAATGTCTGGGGTATCAATGTCTGGGGTATCATTGTCTGGGGTATCAGTGTCTGGGGTATCATTGTCTGGGGTATCATTGTATGGGGTATCAATGTCTGGGGTATCAATGTCTGGGTGGGGTATCAATGTCTGGGGTATCAATGTCTGGGGTATTAATGCTGGGGTATCTTTGTCTGGGGTGTCATTGTCTGGGGTATCAATGTCTGGGTATCTTTGTCTGGGGTATCAATGTCTGGGGTATCATTGTCTGGGGTATCAATGTCTGGGGTATAAATGTCTGGGGTATCAATGTCTGGGGTATCAATGTCTGGGGTATCAATGTCTGGGATATCAATGTCTGGGTATCAATGTCTGGGGTATCATTGTCTGGGGTATAAATGTCTGGGGTATCAATGTCTGGGGTATCAATGTCTGGGGTATCAATGTCTGGGTATCAATGTCTGGGGTATCATTGTCTGGGGTATCAATGTCTGGGGTATCAATGTCTGGGGTATCAATGTCTGGGGTATCAATGTCTGGGGTATCAATGTCTGGGGTATCAATGTCTGGGGTATCAATGTCTGGGGTATCAATGTCTGGGGTATCATTGTCTGGGGTATCAATGTCTGGGGTATCAATGTCTGGGGTATCAATGTCTGGGGTATCAATGTCTGGGTATCAATGTCTGGGGTATCAATGTCTGGGGTATCATTGTCTGGGGTATCAATGTCTGGGGTATCAATGTCTGGGTATCAATGTCTGGGGTATCAATGTCTGGGGTATCAATGTCTGGGGTATCATTGTCTGGGTATCAATATCTGGGGTATTATTGTCTGGGGTATCAATGTCTGGGGTATCAATGTCTGGGTATCAATGTCTGGGGTATCAATGTCTGGGGTATCAATGTCTGGGGTATCAATGTCTGGGGTATCAATGTCTGGGGTATCATTGTCTGGGTATCAATGTCTGGGGTATCAATGTCTGGGGTATCAATGTCTGGGTATCATTGTCTGGGTATCAATGTCTGGGGTATCAATGTCTGGGTATCAATGTCTGGGGTATCAATGTCTGGGGTATCAATGTCTGGGGTATCAATGTCTGGGGTATCAATGTCTGGGTATCAATGACTTCGTATCAAATTAAGGGGTAAGTAATGAGGGGTATCAAAGTCTGGGGTATCATTGTCTGGGGTATCAATGTCTGGGGTATTGTCTGTATATGTATTGTTTTCAATGTCTGGGGTATCAATGTCTGGGGTATCTTAGTCTGGGTAATCATTGCGAGTGGAATCATTGTCTGGGGTATCAATGTCTGGGATGTAAGTGGATTTGAGTTTTAATGTAGAGTAAAACCCGCTAAGTTGAACTACTTTTGACCACCTCAATAATTGTAGGAAAACAGTGTATTTGAGTATCATAGGTGTGTCATGGAGTGTGGCTTTTTGTCCGATGTGATTAATATGTCGATCAAATAAAAAAAATGTTAAAAATTGGCTCTGCATTTTACATACTAGTGTGGTTTATAACCGGGAAAATAAGGTACTCCAGTCTTAGTCCTGTTCAAACGGCTCCTTTCAATACAAGTTCAGAGTTAGACACAGTAGAAACTGCAGCAGAACGCTGTTTATGTCGAGGCTTCATCAATGATGATGGGCCTTGTTTTTAAACCAAGGAGGTGACAGAAGAAAATCAGATCTGTTCAAAAGTAAGGTGAAAATCTAGATTTTGAGGTGCACTGGCCTCATATATCTGATTATTTCAGATATCAAATAGATCTGTACAATCGGAACTTCCATGAAATTCAAGTGTGGCATGCAGCTGGTTAAGGCAAACCACAGAATACCTACCACCTGCAATCTTGAAGATTTTAAACGGACACAAATGAATAGCACCTTTCAATACTAATTAAGAATTAGATTTTGAAGCCTAGCAAGCTATTTCAGCTTTCCAGTATCAAACATTGAGTGTTTTTGTCCTAAATGACAACTTGTCCAAATAATTAGGGGAATTTTGATGAAAAGTACATGTAGTGTGTAGTACCACTTTTTTGCTGAATGATGATACTGTCTTGGGATGAATACCAAATAAAAGGTATTTGATAGCATATAGCCTTAACTCTAACACAAATAATGTCTGTATAACATACAAGGTAGCATATAGCCTTAACTCTAACACAAATAATGTCTGTATAACATACAAGGTAGCATATAACCTTTCATTCTTGTCAACATCATAAAATAGTAAATTAACATTGTCCAGTAATATAATATTCACAGACCTACCATAATTGGTATCAGAGTATGTCTTGTTTCAGCATTTATGACCAATTGATTTTGAGTTTTATATGAATTATTTACGAGATCTTATTTTGTTCTTACAGAAACCATACCTATGGGAAACTAAATACTGTTGGATTGACTATAAGCACCAGGTAAGCACGATAGCTTACAGCAGTGTGAACGCAGGCATTTACACAAAACTTGCATAAACCTGTGAGGGATTTTCTGTCAATACAATTATCAGGGCCTGGAAAATAGAATTGTTTTGTAAAAGAAGTGTTCGATAAAAAAAGTTCTTTTTTTACAGAATACGGGAGAGTTATAAAAGATTCCTATTACAAAGGCTGCCAATTTAGAAGTGATTGTATGAATGAAGGGCAGTGTGTCAATAGGAACATGTCTATAATATAGAAAGTGGATTGGAACACAATATGTTACAGTATAATCAGGCCTTGTAGCTCTTGTGTCGTAATCTGAAAAATGTTTTTTCCATAATTACAGAGTTCTCTTCGGCCTTTTATTCGCTGTGTCATGGCATGTTTGAAGCATGAATAATGATTAAATCACCTGATCTTTCATTGCTCTTGATCAAATTTATAAAAGCAAATTTGAAATCGGTTTTTGAAATTACCAAAGTGAAATTTGAACAAAAGCCCAGAAAAATCTTCAATTCTGCAAGTCCAAATCATTTTTGAACAATCTAAATTTATTTTTTAAAAACTTATAGTTATGTTCAACTATCATGACTACACTTTACACTGTAGAATTGATAAACCATTTTTTCTGGCTGACCCTTTTAAACACAGAATTCAAGAATCATGCTTAGATATTTAGTCACTGCTGGCTGTCATAGTATTGTAAATGCCACTCGTTTTAAAAAGTGAATTGCAAAAGATAACATTTTTCTTATTAAAATTTTGAAAATTCAAGATATTTTTATTTGGTTGTGCAAAATATGACGTGTTTGCTTGCATACTCTGTCATTTATGATGATTATAAATGCCATTACAAACAGTTAATTAGCTAATTTTTTATTCCTTACACATTTAGCTGACACGTACGCCATATCTTTATTTGAACTGAGTTGAAGTACTCATTATCAACAGCTCAATCTCTTGTTTTAACGGTGAATTACCTTGATTGTTTCTATAACTACAATAAAGTAGTAAGGTCATGCCTTGACGTCATTTACAGCGCTGTAAATCACACTTCTTTCTGGTTAGTTCCGATAACCCCTTTTACCATGCATTATTAAGGCCAAATACAGAACATTTCCTGATTACGGTAAACTTTATGTACCCTAATATTTGGTGCTTACCCAAAATTTTTAAAGGCAATTTTCACAGAAGCACTCGTAAAGTTAAAATTTCTGTCCTATAAGCATTTTTCCTACCTACCTACTCAAAGTTTTTTCAGTATGTTACAGGAAACAAATAATGTTTGTTTGGCCTAAGTATTTTACTTATGTTCGGTATTATAACCTCCGATTATACAACTAATATTTATTTGGATTCACAGGAGTATAGATAGGTTTTAGGTCACAAGATCATGGTGCCATGTTGATCTAAGATACATGAATGCTTTGTTTGTCGCCTCAGATAATTTACATCACAGCTTTATACATTTAGGTGATTCAGGTCTTCTAGTAAATAAATTTGCTGAGAGTAAACCTTTACATTAGGATAAAGACACATGTTAATACAAAGTATTCAAAAGTTTCGTCTGAAAGGTGAATATAACTGTTCATCAGTCATCAGATTGTATTTATTGTGTGTATATAAAATGTCACCAGAGTACTATTGCTATATTGAGCAGTATTTGTTTGATGACACATGTCCAGATATTGTGTCGTCTGCTCATCATTGATATTGTTTCTATGACAACACGTACCATACAACTTGTACATTGTGTCGTCTGCTCATCATTGATATTGTTTCTATGACAACACGTACCATACGACTTGTACATTGTGTCGTCTGCTCATCATTGATATTGTTTCTATGACAACACGTACCATACGACTTGTACATTGTGTCGTCTGCTCATCATTGATATTGTTTCTATGACAACACGTACCATACGACTTGTACATTGTGTCATTGATATTGTTTCTGACAACACATACCATACAACTTGTCATTGATATTGTTTCTATGACAACACGTACCATACGACTTGTACATTGTGTCGTCTGCTCATCATTGATATTGTTTCTATGACAACACATACCATACAACTTGTACATTGTGTCGTCTGCTCATCATTGATATTGTTTCTATGACAACACGTACCATACAACTTGTACATTGTGTCGTCTGCTCATCATTGATATTGTTTCTATGACAACACGTACCATACGACTTGTACATTGTGTCGTCTGCTCATCATTGATATTGTTTCTATGACAACACGTACCATACAACTTGTACATTGTGTCGTCTGTTCATTATTGATATTGTTTCTGTGACAGCATGTTCCAGACGATGTGTACTGGTTTTACACTCTTGAGCTGGCATTCTACTGGAACTTGGTATTTAGCGTGCTGTCCGACCACAAGAGGAAGGATTCCACACAGATGTTTATTCATCATATCGTCACCATCACACTTATCTACTTCTCATTTGCCTCCAACACAATCCGCATCGGTGCCATCGTCTTGGTTGTCCATGATTCTGTTGATCTGTGGATGGCAGTATGTACATTGAAAATCAACTGTAGTTTTCCTACAAAAATTCTGTCATGTTATTGTGAACTAACACATTCTGCCAGGGAATGCATTTCCCTCTCTGAATATTTGCTTTGTCTAGTTTTCAAATTATGTGAAAAGATCGGCAAAATAAGTACAATTTTCAGAATTAAAATTGTTTGTGCATATGGAACATTTTTACAAGTTGTTAAGAATGATAAAAGAGTTATTGCCCTTAGTTAGTTTCAACCATTCTAAGTTGCATTTTGATTGGATGATTTTTGCTACATTGCCATTTTTTCTGTAATTTCAATTCATTGCTCCACCTTGAAAAATTCAATATAATGTTAACTAAAATGGGCATCTTAACATTTATTAATGTGAGACTCCTGCAACCACCTGATTAAGGTTTAGAAAGTTTACAAGAAGATAGAAACTTCAGTTTTTTTTCTGTTTCAGGGTGCCAAGATGGCTAATTATTTGAAGAAGGAGACTTTAACAGACACTTTGTTTGCTGTGTTTTTTGTTGTCTGGTTATTTACGAGACTGTATGTTTATCCGTTCAGGTGAGTTCATGTTAGATCCCCGGTTTTTTTCGGTTATTGACTGGACAGTGTTATTGCCAAAATTTCTGTTTTCATCTTCAACTATTTATTTTTTTTTCAAGAATGAAATAAAATCTCCATTCATTAAAATGACAGGTAAATCATGAAAGTGAATTTAATAGAGAAATTTATACTCTGTTTAAGCACTTCCTACAGCTTTGATTTTTACTCCCTGCTTTTGTTAAACTGTGAGATAATCCTGACAATCTATGATTGTGGTCTTACCAAATCTTACATCAGTCCTTGACAAAAAAAAAAACCTTTTGAAAAATCTTTTAGCAATGTAATGTGTGCACACACCTCTAACACTGGACTTTGATTTCAAAGTAAAACAAAAAAGAAAACTTTATACAGGCTATTAAAGTACAAACATTTTGAACCCTATTAAGATAAAGAGATTTTCTCACATCTTTTGTGAAAAAGAAAATCTGTTTTCACTTTTGTAATATGGCTATTTGGGTATCATTTAATAAGTCCTTGCATTACCTCAAATACATTTCAGTGAAAGTGTAAAGATGGCCACAATTGGCCATTTTGAATTTTAAAATTTGAAGTTTGTAAATGCCATTTCTAAAAAATGACTATAGGGAACAGTTTTTATGTATAACTACCTGGAAATTTTGAGGTCAAACAATTTTTAGATGATGCTTTTCTGTTGTGTGGTTGAATTCAGTTGTTTAACCTGTGATCTAAAGGCTGAAATTTAAAGTAAGGATTTGAGAAGTTTATGTTTACAATTCTTTTCAAGACTTTATAGAAAATTTACTGAAGGGTATTCACCTAACAAGTTTCACCTGTGTTGTATTCCAGGGTAGTATGGTCAGCAAGCTTTGAGTCCCTACAATATAATCCAATGTGGCCAGCTTATTGGCCCCTGAACGGTCTACTCTGGGTCCTACAGGTGCTTCATATTATCTGGACAGTGATGATCCTCCGTATCTTCATTAACAAAGTGACAGGGGAGAAAAAGGTAAGTGATTTAAATTTCTTTGATATGTAAGTCAGCCCGATATGAAATTTTGGTAACACATTGGCAGTTCATGGTTCAGTTCCATAATTTGATATGTACAGTTATGGTGTCAATTTTCCAGTTTCGTACTTCAATGTAAGACCCTTTGTACATTCAGCACTAAAAGTAGAGAATAATGTTAATTTATTGCTCAGTCACTTTGCTAATGTTTCAGAATAAATGATGTTTTTGATGTACTGATATACTGTTAGTTAATTAGATCACAAATCTTTATGAGCATGACTTACAAGTGAGCTCCAACTCAATATAGTACATAGAAGATAAAAAAATCAAAATTTGAAACATTCCAATGTTTAACATAACATACACTTTATCTATCTTACAACAATTACGAAACAGGAAAAACCATGTAGTTGGACATGTGATCTCTACTTTCTTATGTCGGGGTATCAAACCGTGAAACCCCATATGGCTAGATGAAAGATAAGTGCATTGCCACTGTGCCATCCGACCACCAAATGTGAAATGCCTTTATTTGACTATTATATAAATTTTATTTAAACAATAATCAGAGTATGTTGAAAATAGCAATTTGATGAAGATTACAGTTAAACTCTCTAAACTGATTTATTTTATAGACAAAAGATGTTCGCAGTGAATCTGAGGATACAACAGCAGGTGAGGAGGACAACAAATCTCATGAGTCAAACATTGCTGCCAATGGCTCTACATCCTTAAGGAAACTACAGACTGCAGGCAACAGATGAACAGGGGTAAATAAATCAGGCAGGGCCACAAAAATCTGAAAAAGGCAGTGCCACAAAATTCTGAAACAGGCAGTGCCACAAAAATCTGAAACAGGAAGGGTCACCAAATCTGAAACAGGCAAAGTCACCAAAATCTGAAACAGGCAGGGTCACCAAAATCTGTAGCAAGCTGGACCACAGAAATCTGAAACAGGCTGAGCCATAGAAATCAGAAAAAGACCTCACAGAAAAATCTGCTGTTGTATATTTATATTACATTGATACACAGTGTTTCCGTCCAAATCTTCACCTTAGTGCTAAGTTTCCAGTGAGGGAGAACTAACATTTGTACACAACTCAGATGGATTCATTTATAATTGTAAATAAATGATAATTGAATGGAATTTAAGTGGATTTACAGATTGACATCATTATTTATGTAACAAATGATTTTCTTAACCATTTTTTTGTCTTAAAAATAATTGTTGCTAATTTGACATGGTAGATCTGAACTTTTTTTATGTTGATAATGAAGTCAACTGCTATCATTTTCCGTTTTCTTTTGGTCTGATTAATGGTTTTCACTGTTTGTTTCACAAAATCATCCTAACATCACAAAATGTTTATAAATAACGTTTTATACAAACATTACTTCTAGAAGTGGAATCATTCTAAACCAACCTGTTTATAAAGTTTTTACAAAAAATGGCTTAGAGTATCTCTGACTGACAATGTAGAATTCAGTGGTTTTTTTCTAATGAAGGTATGCAATTGTTATGTGAGGGAGGAGGGGGGGGGGGTAATATTTGAGGTTATATTTAGTCGCAGGAAATCCAGTTTCTTCCCTGTGGGGAAACCTAGTATAGAGAAAGTAAAGAGTTTCTTCGAACCCAGAGCTGAATGGAAACTCGAGGATAATTTGAATGATTTTATTTTCTTGTCTAGATCAAAAGTTCAAGATGGCTGCTCTGTCAAGTATTTTTAAAATTAGAGTCATTTCACAAGATCATTTTAATATTGATGTTTTCCTTTCAAATTGATATATTATAAAGTACCAGTTGGTTAATTTCCTTATTGATGATGGATGTGAAATGGCAGATATTGTCTCGAGTTGATAGAAATATTTAAATGTCTTTCCTGTAATTCAGATGTTAAATTGAACAGGGTAACGATCATGATACGAGCTCTGTCAGAGTTTTTATCTTTTGAAATGTTTCCACTCAGAATACCCAAGTGTATCTGTTGGCTTAGCCACCAGGCTAAGGACAATAGGTGTTTATTTTATCATTGTTTCTTGGGGTTTTGTTTGCTGTCATCTATTACCAGGTAGTAAATAAAAATGCATTGAGAGGTAATAAATATTCATTTGTACTTGAGTAAAATAACTTGTGTGTTTAGTTTCAAAATTTATACAGATTTACTGTTTAAATGTTATTGTCGATGACTGAGTTTTATAAAACTTTACCAAGCACTAAAACATTACATATCATGATGATTTCCCCTCAGTCAATACTGCTGTCAATGACTGAGTTTTATAAAACTTTACCAAGCATTAAACAACATTACATATCATGATGATTTCCCCTCGGTTAATACCGATGTACTTGGTTGATGCATTCTTTGATCAACCTCATCAACATTCCATGTTGTCATTGTCTATCATATATCTATTCCTTCCAATTCTCATGCATGATGTGCTAACCAAGAATATATTAAATACATATATGTAGAACATGTGTAATTTTCTATATCAAAGCTGGTAGGATGTATCAAATTCTCATATTTTTTTATGGAACTTAATTGTCCTTTCAACAAGTAAACAAGCATTTCATTGTCTGTGTGATGAACACTTTCTTAAAAATGAAGCTCAGATTGCTAAACATGTTTTGAAAATTGAATCAAAAGATGTATCGTTGTGAAATCTTGTATATTATGTGATTTTCATGTCTACACCTTGATTTTGCTTCTTGCTTTTTTGACTTTTGGAGAAATTTAAAGTTCTGTGCCTACTAGTACTATTATATATTATATTTTTATAAATTACTGATAAATTCTCTTAAATTGAAAGGAAACAAATCAGTGTGTCCTGTCATTTAAGAGACAAAGTATTTTGAATTTCATTTTTTTCACAACTGTTTTCTATGAAAGTAATACAAAATTAACTTTTGTAAACGCTGGCAGTAATAAGTTCTCACAGGCCCTTTAGCATGTATCAATATCTGTTTTTTATGTTTTTATTTATTCTTAATACTTTTATAATATAAAACTGATATAAAATGGCTTGTTATCTTTGTAATAAGCAAAGTTATTATAGTTGCCTCTCAAAGGTCTGGTAATGTCTCATATCTGGTGACTGGATATACAGAGGATTTTAAATGTTGGTCGATCTTGTAACAAAGACAGATCTTTTTTACTGCTATGTTATATTTCTTTAGGTTTTTATATCTTAAAAGCTCTGACTTGTGAAAATATATATCAATATAATATCATAAATGTTGATATGGGGGGGGGGGGGGGGGGTTAATGATTGTTAATAGTATTCTACTGATTACTGATTTTATAACAGTGATGTGTCTTTATCTTTTATTTCTATCTGGCTGTTTTTTATATCACCAGTAATTTGGTATTTTTCTCTGTACTTTATATAGTGTAAATAATTGTTGTATTTATTCTAACAAATATTCTTCTTAATAACCACTTCCCTTCTCCATATTTCATTAGTTAATGATTCAAATTATAAAATTACTTATGGTATAGTAAATCTACATAAAGTCTAGAACACAGCGATAGACAAATCATAGTAGACGACTAGTCTAAAGCAGCAGACAAAATATATTTATTTACAGAAGTTCCAGTCTCATTGTCCTGTACTAGCATACAAACTTCGATTTTTTGTGATTTTTATTTACCTGACCTTTGAATTTTTTCATGGCACCAGGGAAGACTTTGTAGAATGAATATGGTGTGCATATCATTCTAGGATGGCAGTTGTGGGTTTTAAGCCACCATCATCAGATAGTGGGCTATTAACAGCACTGCGTCTATGGTCTGTGATCGGTGTGTCTGTCGTCTGCCCATGACAATTTCTGTCATCGCTGTTTTTTGAGAAGTACAGAATGAATCTTTCTCAGTTTTCATATGAAGGTTCCCCTTGGTCCCTAGTTGTGCCTGTTCGAGTTTGGGACTGATCAGGAAAACATAATGGCTGACAAGCAGCCATCTTGGATTTCGCCTGTAGAGATTGTTATCTCAATTTCTTTAGAAATACTAAATGAATGTCTCAGAAATTTCATAAGAATGTTCCCTTTGGTCTCTTCTTTTGCCAGCCTCCAAGTGTCCATTTTGAATTTAGAAACTAAAGATTGTCATCACTATTTCTGCAAAGGAATGTTCAAATTTCCTATCATTAAGAGCAAAAACAGAGAAGAGAAAAGAAGGGGAAAGAACCCAAATTCAAAGAACATATAAAGATCAAACAATGGTTGGCACCAAGATCTCTCTGGGATCTCTTGTTTTAACTGCCAGAACAGATGTTATTTCTAATCCAAGTTATATTCTAGTCTTTGAAGTACACAGTATAATGGTTCTGAGTATGTATTCATTTTAAATTAAAATGTCAATTAAAAAATCCAATTAGTTTTACCAAATTTTACTGTAGTTTGCACTTAAATTTACTGGTAATATAAAATCTTATAAAGATTATAAACAATGGAAATGTTCATACTTTTCCATTTCTAGTGGATCAATTTTAACACAGAATGAATCATATTTGCAAATAGTATTGAGAACCATCTTACGCTAATAACACATAAATATTTCAATGATTACCTATATGTGATTTTAAAGTCCAATTTTTATATCACTGCCAGTAATTTTTTTGTCTTAGATTTTTTAAAAAAAAAAGTCAAAATAAATTATGAAATTTTTAATAAATCAAATGGAGAATTATTATGGAAAGGGCTTTATATATATGAATATAAATTATTCAAATTAAGCTAATATGTTATACATTACTAACAGCTGAAACTTTTATGTATAATATAAAGATGCATTATTCTTGAATTTTATATTTTGTAAATGTTTATGGTGAAATTTGCTTTAATTTATAGATTTCATATTGTAAGTTTTTCACCCAGTTATTTTAGATGTTTATTGTTAAATTTTGCTCATTTAGATTTCTATTGTGTATGCAGTCAATCAAGTACCTGTCTGTCACATATATGATGTTTTCTGTGTCATAACATAAATTATGTAATTATTTGTTTCATAACTCCCGACACATCTATTATAGTTATTGAATGTAGACTTTCATACTTTTAGACATGTACTTTGGAGACAAGTGTTTTCTTTAAAACACCACAAACTTTTAAAATATTACAATAAAGGAAATTCATTCCAAATTGGATTATTTTAGAAAGTCAAACCTTACAAAATACTGTTTACAGAAGAAAATTGAACCTTAGTTATGTGATAAACAATTTTTCAGAAAATCTTGCTTCCTAGAACTGTTGCTGAGGTTTTCTGTGTAAATATTTCTTGTGTTCATTTTTTGCCTTTGTTTGTTTTTGAGTTTTAATGGTGTTTTGTGGTTGTTTTTGTTGCCTTTTCATATTTTATTTATAGAAAATCTCCTTAATGTTTACATATATTTGCTTGCCTTGATGTTTTAACACATGTTGAGTTTTGTCATTACTAGATGATAGATTTCTCTCTGTTATTGTTTAATATATTTTACAATATTTTGGTATTTTTCCCAAATGAGTGTTTCTTTTAAATACCAGGTAATGTGGCAAAAGAAAAAGTGCTTAATGTAAAATCACTGTTAAAGCATGTATATTTACAGTATATTGTGATGTGGTTTTGTCTGTCACTGGTTTTCTGAACCAATCACTTTATACAAACTGTCAGTTACCTAGCTACATAGCAGTTGTAACATAATTAAGGTTTTTACCAAACTTGGTAACTGTATTGTCTATCATATAATTTTTTACAACTTTTACACCTTCTAAATTCTTATCTAC